AGCATCTCTTGCAGAGCTGGTTTGGTGGAGGTGTATTCTTTTAGACTTCTTTTTTCTGCAAAGCTCCTTATTTGTCCTTCTATCTTGATTGAGAGCCTTGCTGGGTAAAGTAGCCTTGATTGCAGGGCTCTGGTTCTCATTACTTGGAATATTTCTTGCCATTCTCTTCTGGCTTGGAGCATTTCCATTGAGAAGTCAACTACTAGCCTTAGTGGGGCTCCCTTGTATGTTGCTTCCTGTTTCTCTCTTGCTGCTTTTAAGATTCTCTCTCTGTCTTGGTATTTTGCCATTTTAATTATGATATGTCTTGAGGTGGGCCTCTTTGGTTTCCTCTTGATTGGGACTCTCTGTGTTTCCTGGATTTGTGTGACATTTTCTGTCATCATATTAGGGGAGTTTTTCATCGTTATTTTTTCAAATAGGTTTTCTATCCCTTGCTCTTCTTCTTTTTCAGATATCCCTATTATGTGGATATTATTACGTTTTGTATTATCTTGAATTTCTCTTAATCCCTCTTCATTCCTTCTGAGCTTCTTTTCATTTTCTTGCTCTTTCTTGGTATTTTCTTCTACTTTGTCTTCTAGCTTGCTGATATGATCTTCTGCTTCATCAATCCTGCTTTTGATTCCTTCTACTATGTTCTTCAGTTCAGAAATTGTATTCTTCATTTCCTTGTAGCCCTTAATGATAGTTTCTATTTCCTTTTTCATGTTGATATAGTTTGCAGTGAGTTCATTGCAGTTTCCCTGTAGTTTCTGGTAGCTCATTGTGAGCTCATTGAGCTTCCTGATAAAAAGTTATTTTAAAAAATAAAAATAGAATAAAATAAAAAAGCCTCTTGGTTTCAAAGTGGCCAAACCGGTTTTTCTGGTCTTGCTGGCTGCAGCAAGCTGAGGGGTGTTTGGTATGGCTTTTCTTCTTTCCCAATCTGCACTCAGTCAGCCTCCCAGAGCTAGCCTGGTGCCTCTCCCCAGCGCCTTGGGTGCAGGATCCAGGCCTTTCCCCTGGAGTTACCACTGTGGGCTGGAGTACAGGCGTGCATGTGCTTGGCCAAGCTGCCTTGGTCCCACAAGGGCACACCCTTCCCAGTGCTATGAAGGTATGCAGGGTCTTCCACACAACCTTCCACGCAACCTCAGGATCACTGCCCAGCTGGGTGGCAGGGAGGCTGGAGCTATTGCTGCAGGAGAATTCCCTGAACAGTGTCTGTCTTTTCACTTTTTCTTTTTGAGAAATTCCTCCTACTCAAACCTGCCACTCTGTACAGCAGCCTGGCCTCTCCCACAGCCCAATTCTCCAACAAGACCCATGACTATCGGTGTCAGGGCCCATCACTGCAAGACTCTCAACTCTGCCAGCATCCATGAACTCTGAGAGTGTTCGCAGCCCCTGTGTGTTTACCACCTAGACCTTATTCCCCTCTCTACGACTTCAAGCAACCACGTTTCTCCTGGTGCTGCTCAGACCTTGTTTGGCCACGGAGGGAGCAGTTGCCCTGGCTCTCTCCCAAGGACTCTATGGCAAACCCAGCATGCACCGGGCCTGGGGCTGCAGCTGCCCTGGTCCCCGAGCTGGTCCCTGGGACCTTATTGTCCTGAAGCACTCTCTTTACTGTCTGTATTTTTGGTATCCGCTACAATTTTTGGTCTCTTATTTTCATATATGCTGAGGTACTGTTGGCTGTTTGCTTTTTTACTCCGTAGATCAGCTAGGATTTTCTCCCATGTGTAGGAAGAAGTAGAATCTGCTCCCTCCTACCCCAACACCATCTTCTCATCCCAGGACATCTTTAAATGTTCCAATATCTGAATTATAGGGGTACCAGAAGGAGAAGAGGAAGAGCAACAAGTGGAAAAGTTATTTGAACAAATAATAAAGGAGAACTTCCCCAATCTGACAAAGGAAATAGACTTCCAGGAAGTCCAGGAAGCTCAGAGAGTCCCAAAGAAGTGGGACCCAAGGAGGAACACACCAAGGCACATCATAATTGCATTAGCCAAGGTAAAAATGAAGGAGAGAATCCTAAAAGCAGCAAGAGAAAAGGGGACAGTTACCTACAAAGGAGTGCTCATAAGACTGTCAGCTGATTTCTCAAAAGAAACCTTACAGGCAAGAAGGGGCTGGAAAGAAGTATTCCAAGTCATGAAAGGCAAGAACCTACATCCAAGATTGCTCTATCCAACAAAGCTTTCATTTAGAATGGGAGGGCAGATAAAGTGCTTCTCAGATAAGGTCAAGTTAAAGGAGTTCATCATCACCAAGCCCTTATTATATGAAATGTTAAAGGGATTTATCTAAGAAAAAGAAGATAAAAAATATGAACAGTAAAATGACAGCAAACTCACAGTCATTAACAACCACACCTAAAACAAACACAAAAGCAAACTAAGAAAACAACTAGAACAGGAACAGAACCAGAGAAATGGAGATCACATGGAAGGTTACCAACAGAGGAGTGGGAGGGGAAGAGGGGGGGAAAAGGTACAAAGAATAAGTAGCATAAATGGTAGGTAGAAAATAGACAGGGGAGGGCAAGAATAGTATAGGAAATGTAGAAGCCAAAGAACTTATATGTATGACCCATGGACATGAACTAAAGGGGGGAATGTAGGTGGGAGGGGGTGTGCAGGTGGGAGGGGAGTGAAGGGGGAAAATGGGACAACTGTAATAGCATAATCAATAAAATACATATTTTAAAAAAGAAAAGAAAAGTCATCCAAATTGGAAAGGAAGAAGTAAAACTTTTTATTTGTAGATGACATGGTATTGTATTTAGAAACCCCTAAAGACTCCACACACACACACACATAAAACTGTTAGAATTAGTAAAACAAATTCAGTAAATTTGCAGGATACAATATCAATATACAAAAATCAGTTATTTTCTACACTAATAACAAACTGTCAGAAAGAGAGGTTGAGAAAACAATTCCATTTACAATGACATCAATAGAATAAAATACTTAAGGACAAATTTTACCAAGGAGGAAAAAACATTTTCACTGAAAACTATAAAACATTGAAGAAGGAAATTTTAAAAAACACAAAGAAATATAAAGATATTCCATGCCCATGGACTGCAAGAATTTATATTGTTAAAATGTCCATACTAGCAAGAGCAGTCTAAAGAGCCAATGCAATATCTATCACAGTTCCAAGGGCAAATTTCACAGAAATAAGACAAACAATCTTAAAATTTGTATGAAACAACAAAAGACCCCAAATAGCCAAAGCAATTTTAAGAAAGAACAAAGCCAGAGGCATTTCATTTCCTGATTTCAAACTATATTGTAAAGCTATAGTGATCAAAACAGTATGATATTGGCATACAAACAAACACATAAATCAATGGGACAGAATAAAGAGCCCAAAAATAAACTCACATATATAATTTATGACAAAGGAGCCAAGAAATTACAATGAGGAATGGATGGACTCTTCAAAAAATGGTGTTAGGAAAACCAGATGGCCACAGGCAAAAGAATGAAACTCAATCATTATCTTACATCAATCACAAAAATCAGCTCAACATGTATTAAATATTTTGAACATAACACTTGAAACCATAAAACTCTAAGAAGAAAACATAGGGGTTAAGTTCCTTGACATCAATCTTGGCAAAGATTTTTTGGATTTGACACCAAAAGGAAAGGAAGCTAAAACAAAAATAAACAAGTGGAACTACATGCAACTAAAAAGCTTCTGCCCAGCAAAGGAACAATCACAAAACAAAAAGGCAATCTACGGAATGGAAGGAAATATTTGCAAATTGTTTATCTGATAAGGGGTTAATATGCAAAATAAAGAAGTCACAACCCAATAGCAAAAAAAAAAAAAGTTTTTTTTTAAGGACAGAAGATCTGAATAGACATCTTTCCAAAGAAGACATATGAATGACCAGCAGGTACATGAAAAAATGCTCAACATCACTAATCATCAGAGAGAAGCAAATCAAAACCACATGAGATATTTATTACCTCACACCTGTCAGAATGTTATAAAAAAGACAAGTGATAACAAGAGTTAGCACTGATAATAGTGTGGATCCTGAGAAAAGGTTCTCCTGTTGGCAAACTGGGCTCAAATTCAAAACAAAACAAAATGGCCTAGCAGCTAAGTGACATATGCCAGAGAAGTGCAATCTTAAAAAAAAAAAGTGAAACAAAATCAGAGCTGCAAAGTGGTTGCTGTGGGGTGGGGGAATGGGGCAAGTTAGTAAAAGGGCACAGGTTTTCAGTTATGAGATGACTAAGGTCTGAGGATCTGACGTAAAATATGATGACTGTAGTGCTAACGCTGTATTGTATAATTGAAATTTGCTAAGAGAGGAGAGTTCAAATGTTCTCACACACACAGGAAGATAAATGTGTGAGGTGATAGATGTGTTAATTAACTGGGTGGGGGAATCCTCTCACAATGCAGATGTATATCAAACCAAGACAATGTACACTTAAAATATCTTATAATTTTATGTCAATTATACCTCAATAAAGCTGAAATTTAAAAAAAGAGAGAAAGAGATGATGACTACCACCATGGTACATTACCATAACAATATGTCTTTAAGACCATGAAAAAAATTGGTTGCACATCAGCTGGCTAATGGATTTTTTTTTCAAATCTATTGGCAAGGTTATGAATTCCAGCAGGATTGCTTAGTTTGGTGTCAACAGTGTGAATATGCAAAAAGAGTTCAAGTGTGAGGTGCTAGGTACGCGTTGGTCATGAGAAGCCACTATTCCTTAGGTCCCAAGACAAAATCTCTCTTCCTGAGTTCCCCAAAACCTTATTGGACAGATCAGCAGCTAGAGCTGAAGAAGCAGAGTAGCATAGGATAAGGGGACCCCATTAACAAGTAGGGTGCTGCCCAGCAAAGCCCCACCCCCCAGTCAGATGGCCAGGTGCTAGAGGGCCTTGGGGTCTTCCCTTCTCCATGTACCCTCCTCCTGGACCTGCCATTGTGCTGCGTGGTGGTGACACCTGCTCTGTCTGCCCCACAGGGACTACCAGCGCGTGGCAGACAGAGCCTTCCTGGGCACCCGGGCCGGCCTCCTCAGAAGCAGCTTGTTCGTGGGCTCTGAGAAGATCTCCAACAGGTAAGTCTGCTGGGTGGGGCAAGCAGGGACAGAGACTCCTGGAATACAAGGAGGCTGGAAGAGCTGTGGTTTACAGAGTGGGAGGGTCAGAAAGTTAACCCTTCCACCCAGGCTTGGACTCACCCTGGAGGTACCCCCAGCAGGGAGGGAGGCCCAGTCCGGCAAGAGAGACCTGGAGACTTGACGTTGGGAGGGTTAGTCAAAGGTTCGCTTCCACGGAGGGAAACCAAGAAATTGTTTTCCTCCAGGGGCAGGTCTCTACATGACAGCCTAAATCTGGCTGCAATCCATCCTTTCTTGACATCTCCCCTTCTCCTAAGCCAGCAGTTCTTAACTGGGGGTGATTTGTACCCACCCCAGGGACACTGAGCAATGTCTGGAGACATTTTTAGTTGTAGAAACTGGAGGAGGGGTGCTTATTACTGGCACTTAGCGGGCAGAAGCCAGGGATGCTGCTAACCATCAGATGGCACCCAGGATGGCTCCTGACAACACCTAGTGTTGAGACTGAGAAACCCCACTCCAAGCAAAGCCTGTTTCCAGGAGAGTCCTGCTATGCCCAGGGCCCAGCCAGCCCTGTGTTCTCCCCACTGAGTGCTGCAGCAAGGGGAGAGTGGGAGCCCAGAGGAAGGTCAGGAAGGGGAGGGGTGAGCAGAGCTACCTGTTCTCTGCAAACCACGAGACTGAAATAGGCTAGGCAAGGCCACTAGGCATCTAGAGGAGAAGAACTGAGGGGGCTCCTTAGCAGACTTGACCCCACAGTCCTCACCTCCACCCACTGACCATTCCTCCCACTAAATCCAAGTGCATTTAGCAATGGAGAGCCATCTTTGAGCTTCTTCCAGGACTCTGGGACAGATTCGTGCTTGCTAGAAAGCTGAGTCTTTCTAGGAAAACAAATGGGGTTGTTCTTCCCTCTCCCCAACTCCCCTCGTTCCCTCAGAAGTGGAAACAGAGAAGCATGCGGCCTTGCTACCCTTTCCCAGGGCCCTGTCAAAGACCAGCAAAGAGCTCAGATGGACTGGACTGAGAGAAAACTGTGGCTGTGCCCTGAGGCCGTGACCAGTGTGGGAAATGTTCCTACCCAAGCTCACTGCCCACCCATACCTCACCCCCCTTAAACTGTACCCCAATCAGAAAACACACACGTCTTTGTTGAGCCAAGGTTGGACAAGTGCACCACACCTGACAGCGCAAAGGAAGAAAACATCTCGGCGTTCCCCTGTGCCCTCTCTCCAAAAGATTTCTGAAAATGGAAGAGGGAAACCTCAGACAGGCCCAGCCACCGTGAATGGTCTCACATGCCCTGCACATCTCCCTTCCCCTGAACTGTGATGTGACTGGCAGCCCGGGAACTGTGCAACAAGGTTTCTGGAACATGTAAACCAGGCAGTCTTAAAATCCCACTTCAACCATCCACCTTATGGGTTATCCACAGTAGTGTTTCCAATCCCCACCAGCTTCTCCCTGCCTCCCACTCTGCTTCTGGACCAACACTCTCTTCTGCAGGCTGCTGTGTGTTCAGGGAATGCAAAACCATAATTAGCAAGATAAAGCTGCTTAAAAAGAGAAAACTCATGATGCATTCTAAAACCTAGAGGCAATGGCTTTGAATTAATCACTTGAGGGGAATTTATGCTCCTATATTAGCTTAGTGGTGGAGGTGACTATACAGTTTCCTCACTCAGACATGCCAATTAGCCAGACAAAAAGAAATTAGGCTGTATCCAAAAGAAAAAACCATGCAGGACAAGCCATTTACATAAGAATGGAAAGTATTCTTTCAAAATACAAGCCTCATACCTCTTCTAGCTACTAACGTGCCATCAGATGTAATGACATTTGACTCTGGAAGAAGCAGGAATTGCTGGGGACATTGTCTGGGGCACCACCAACTAGGAGCTCATATTTTGTACCTGCAAGTCCACCAACGCAGAGGGGAATCACTCTCTTGGCCCAGCCAGCATAGCTGTGTATGGAAAAGCAAAAAGAGAGAAACGTGTTCCCAAATTTGAAGGGAAGAACCAAATATTTCTCCTTACAGGAAGTTTCTGACCCCTGAAGACAAGGCCAGCATGTTCACCATGGACCACTTTCCTCTGTGGTACCGCCAGGCCACTGAGCAGCCTGCTGGCAGCTTTGTCTTCAACCTCTATTCTGCAGAGGAGCCAGGTAATCCACACCCCGTGCTGCTGGGCCAGGCGGGACCAGGGTGTCCCTCCTCCTCCTGTGCGCTTAGTGATGAAGCAAAACGTCCGGGTTCCCTCCTACCTTCCTCCTGGCACGTGGTAGCAGTTTGAGAAAGCTTGCTGGGGCCTTATCACACATCTTGTCTCTACCCTGCTTATAGGACGGGTCACTGTATCCCCTAGCCAGCAGTCAAAGTTGGCTGTTAAAAATCCAACATGGAACAAAGGAAAGAGATCTAACCAAAAGTCAAGAAGAGCTGGATTCTAGCCCAAATTCCAAATAGAAGGGTATTGGACAATTAATCTCTAAGATTCTTCTACTTCTAAACATCTGAGTATCCTTGAAAGTTCCTTAAACCACCCAGGTGGAAGTAACTTTATTCCACTTACTTGCTGAGGCCCCTGCCCCTCACAGTTCTCCTTCTCCCGAAACAGGGAAAGCAGCCTGGGCTATGCTCCCTGGAGCCCTCCAGGGGCAGCAACACTGAGCTCCTGGCCTGTGCCTCAGAAACTGCTTATAATAATGGGGTGCCTCCCACTGGCAGGCTATGGTGGGTCTGGGGCTTGAAAGGTTGGAGGTGGGGCAGCCAAGGCCAGGCCCCGTGGACCAAGACAGCAAACCCTTACTAGTCCAAGGACCAGGAAGGGTTCCAGAGCTGCAAGCACCCAACTCCCCCAGCCCCACTCTGAAAAATGGCCCTAAAAGGAAAAATTAAGTAACTTAACAGAGCACCAACAAAACAGTAGAATGTTTAGAACAGAAAGGAGCTTTGGAGGACACACAACCTCACACTCTTGACTTACACGTGAAGAGACAGCGGCCTACAGAGGGGGGAAGGCCTCGTCCAGGGGTCCAAGAGTTTGAGCAGAGCAAGCTCTCCGCAAGATCACCTCTGGGGAGGCTGATCCCGTCGCAGGAGAGCAAGAGGGCCTGGAAAGTATCCACACCCAGGCCAGAGCTGAGGAGGAGGAGAGACAGAGGAAGGAGAGGGGAGGACTGAAAACATCTGAAAGGAGAGGGGCAGGCTGGGAGCCAAATGGAATGTAGAGCCGCACTTCCCCTTCAAGATGTCTCCCACCAAAACCCTTCTGACCGTCACTTCCACCAGCCATCCTCCAGCTTCCTGATGGAGAAATGCCCCCAGCTGACAGCGGGGGCGGGGGGTGGGGGGGGGGAGGCAGGCTCCCTTGGGCTCCTCCAGAACTGTAACAGCAAGAAGGCAGTCACCTCTGCGTCTTTTGGATGCCTTTTTCTCCTTGTGCTAAAGCCCGCCTCTCCATCCTGTGCCTGTTCCTTCCACCTGAGGTATCACTAACATGATTGACAAAACTCCTTGCCACACATAACACACTTAAGTTGCACAACCCTATAAGGTAAATGCTGTTATCACACCTCTTCTTATACAGGGAGAATCTGAGGCTCAGAGAAGTTCTGTGTCTTGCCCAGGGTCACACAGCAAGGGAGCCACAGAGCCCAGCCTAAAACCAAGGTCTGCCCAAGGAAGTTCGGGCTCTTTTACTGCACCAAGTGGAAGACAGGAAGGGGATGGGGGTAACAGGGAAGCGGTTGCTCCTAGTGAAAGCTGAGGGAGGTTCTCAAAGCCAAGGTGAAGGTCTGCCTCCCAAACTGCCCACCCTGAGCCAGAATGAGGCAGCTCTTTCTTCCTGGCACCATCTACAGCAGCACCAAGGGCTCCCTGAGGAGGGGCTCCCACAGGGTCCTGGGGACATTCTGTGGCCCCTGGCCCCAGCCCAGGATGATGCTCTCTGCTGCCAGCATTGTCACTGGGAGGTGCCTGCTAGTTGCTGGGGGAGCTTTTTGTGGCGGTGAGGTAGGAGGGCGGGTGGGTGCGAACTGAGCCACAAGAAGAGAGGGAAGCTGGCAACCCAAAAAGAGGGCCAGTTGAGTTGGGAGGCAGGAGCTCACTCCTTTTTCACACCCTCGCTCATGCATATGTTTAGAGACACGTGGACACCTCTGCACACGCCCATTCTCCCCCAAAGAAAGAAAACAACAATTTTATTTTAAGGGGAGGAGGAGCCCCAACGAGGTAGAGGAGTCAGCTCGGGGGCAGGGGCGTAAAGGCTTCCCTCTGCCTCTCGTGCTGACTCTGCCACCCTTTGACTGGGCCTGGTGAGCTGAGCCTGCCCACGGCTCTGTCTTTTGTCAGTGCCTAAGAAACCCACCAGCACGGAGCAAAGTCTCTCAGGCCACCCCAAGTCTGCTCCACCAGCAAGTGGTAGCCCGCTCATTCACCCCAAGTGCTGGACTAAGAAGGTGCTAGGTGACCCAGGTGCTGACACTCCTGATTTCCCCCGAGACTGTCATTACGGTCCCACAGCCTATGGAACATACATACAATGGAAGGTCTGTCCGGGAAAGCAGCCTGTGGGCCTGGGGAAAACCGCAGGGAGTCAGCAACCTCAGTATCTTCCAGAAATTTCTAGAAGCAAGGTGACAAAGCCTACTTTTTTATCTATTGTGGTCCCTTGCAGCTTCTTCATGGCAAATTCCTACAATCAAGACAACTTCACACATTTCAGGTTCCTAGAATCTGAGTAATTTTAAAATTCTGTGGGTTATGTGATTACAGCAAGGTGGGATGGGTAATCTTAGCAAAATAGCAGATAGGAGAAACCAGTGGTTGATTTAACTTCCATTTCAAATGACACCGTAAGAACAACCAGCACACAAGATTCTCATGACCTATTTGTTTCGACGTTTCATGTAATAACATTCTAACAAGAAGCACGTGATCAAATTTTGCCCCTTCCTTGGAATGTTTAGTACTGGAACTTGACCTATAGATATAAGAGTGCTCTGGAAAGCTAATCCAGGCCCATGAATGGGTGAGAATTAAGAAGCCCGAGGTCATGTACTAGCCTGTACCAGCTCAGAGCCAAAAAGCTCTGTTTAATGTAGAGCTGAAGCTGCCACCCACATGCTGCACCTTCGGTGGCCTGATTCCTAAAAGAGGTGGAAAAGCAACTTGAGGAAAGTCCCTTGCCCTTCAGGAGCCTGGCAGAGTGTCCTAAAAGAGCAGAATCCAGCTGCAAAGCCAGGAAAGACATGACTGGACAGTGGTGTGGTGGTGGTGAGTGGGCCACCAACAACCAGGATTTACGGAGGGCCTCGGATAGCCAGCCAGCCTTCTGTGCCCGATGCAGCCCAGACAGCTGGCTTCCTGAAGGGGCTGTCAGGGCCGCCCTGACTCATGTGACTGATAAAGGACAATCCAGGATCTGCCACTACCAAGTCCTGGGGCGCAGCCTGTCCTTCTAGAATGAGTCATTTGATGCAATGCAACTATTCTGGTTGGAAGCCATGTCAAGAGAACAGTCACAGAAGGGTCCCCAAGTTCACATGAGCAGCAAACAGACAGATTCACTGCCAGAGACAGAGAAAACTCACAGTGTCCTAGTGACACTGGCAGTGCTGCGTTGTCCAGGTGGGCAGGGGCCACAACATACACCTATTTATCTATCAGGTTCAGATCTGCACAGAGAGGGGACAGCACCTGGGCCTCAGGAGGCACTTGGCCAAGACCAAGGTCGGTGGTGGCAGAGCCGTCACAGCAACGACTTCTTCAAACACCCCCTCAGTGACCCGAGGATGTCCTCACCTAGTATTTATACTTATTTGCTTGGCCCACCCCAACCACTGCTCTTCCCCAGCTGCTGAGAAAGTAACTGGGCAACTTTTGTTTCCCCAGAAGGTCCAGGTGAGCCGGCGGTGGTAACAGCAAGCACAGCTGTAGCTGTGACCGTGGATAAGAAAACAGCCATTGCTGCAGGTAGGGGCTGTTCTTTGTACCCTGAGGCTGGGAAGTTGTGAGTAAATGTCAAGAATAAGGCACACAGTAATAGCAGGAGGACTTCTGCCTACGGTCTGCATGGGTCACAGTCCTCGGCTGTAAGTTTTCTCAGGTGAAATGTGGGACTGAGGGTAGTGGGGTCTTCCCAAGCTATTTTTTTTATAAAACAGTAAAACCTTAGATCTAAAAGAGTTTGTGAAATGAGTAAAATAAAGTCCAGAGAGGTTAAGAGTTCTGCTGAAGGTCACACAGGACAGAGATTGCAACCCAGACCTCCTTTCCACCCCTCAGCAGGCTGCTTTCCTCTTCCACCACCTTGGGTCTAGTATCCTTCTGAAGGAAGAATGGGGCTGTGACTCAAATCGTAAAATAAGAACTCAGTATGTGTGCTCAGCATGTGCCAGGCACCTAGGAATCTGCCTGTCATGCATGTTCTCATTCAGCCCTGGGAAGCCAAAATCCAGTGAAGCCAAGACTTTTGGCTCCATTTTACAGATGAAGAAATTGAGACACAGAACAGTTATTTGTCCAAAGTCTTACAGCTAATGATTGATGAAGCTAGAATTTAAACTCAGATCACCTCTCGTAAGGCCCAGGTTCATTATCCTGTGTTACCATTTGCCTCAAATGTGATGAGAGCACCCAGTGACCCTCACAAGCTTCCTTGGCTTTGTAGCTTCTTAGTGCTTCAAAAAGCCTTGGGCATCTCTGTCTTATTATCTGAGAGCTATCAGGGCTGAGTGATGAAGCCTCCTTGTCCTGCTTCCCAGGAACCCCTTAGCTTCCCAGGAGGGACTCAGCAGCTGGAGTGGGGCAAAGCAGGCAAGATCTGTGCACCTTCTCCCCTCAGGCTGAATGCAGGGCAAAGGGGATGGAGGAACCGGCTGGGCTCAGGCAGAGAGGGTCTGAACCTGCCTTCCTGTCTCAGGGAGGGCCCAGGGACATCCTTAGTCAGACCTCCGAGCTGCTTTGCCCCTGGGGATTAGAGGTGGGGGAGAATATCTTGGTCTGATGTTGCTCAGCACCCATGTTAGGAAACACCGGCACCGTGGACGGTCTGCAGGATGCACGGCACAGCATGTAAAAGGTACCCAGGACATTTTGACCACCCTTTTTTTTTAGCCCATGGCAGGCTAATTCTAAACCCATTTCTGGGCCAAATTATGACCCCAAATTTGTCTCCTTAAAGACTGTTCTGTGGTCCCAGCTGAGCCTGTGCCTGTCCTCCCTTCACATCGTGGGCCTTCTCAGCTCCCACGCACCTCGAAGTCTAGGAAAGAGAAGGGATTCAGGGTCAGGCTGCTGGCTCTGCTATCCTGCACTCTCCAATTATTTGAAATCTTTTTTAACTCTGAGCTGAATTGGAGCTGGAAGGGGTTGCCATAGAAACTGTGTCCTTCCTGGTGCCTCTGGCTTAGTGCACTGCAGACAATCCCTCTGATACTCTGGGGTGCATAGATGTGACAAGAAGAAGATGAGGCACTGGATACCTGATATTTTAATTATTTGAGGAGTCTCCTTTTTTAATTTCCTCCCACTGGCCTATGGCTCAGCCTCCCTGATCCTGAGGCCTATGGGGGCCTATAGCTCAAGACAGGGTAGGCAGCTTGTTTACTATCCCAGCACATTCATCCCTTGGAAACTGGTGGCATTGTGTGTGTGTGAGCTCCAGGATTGGGTGAGCCTGTGCAATTTTGTGCACCGCAGAGGCCAGCTTCATACCAGGCAGATGTGTGTATAATGCCATAGATTTGTGCAGAAGGGCAGGTGAATGAGGAAGGATTACTTTCATCTCTAAGCAAGTGATTTATCAACAGTTTTCACAAAATTTCTATAAATCTAACTTTTAATCAGGATCTATTTTCAATTCTCCATGCCCTGCAAGTCCTTGTGTGGGAATATTGCCAAACATAATGATGGTGGCACCATAACCTGCTGAGCTTCTCTAGCACATATCCTGCAGTACACATATGCCCCCGACAGAGGCCTTCATGGTGTGGGCCTGCCGTCTGGAGCTGCATGAGGCTCCTGTCCTCAGAGTGTGCATCTGGCCAAAGACCCGCGTGCACACTCTGGATGGCAACTTGAATAATGCATCTGTGCATTGCCCAGACTTGTGCCACACTTGTGAGGGGCCCTGTCCTCTGCTTCTGCAGTGGGGCTTGGGGGAGACTTGGCACTCAAGTCTGCTATAACTGTTAGGGCTACAGGAAGGCAACGCCCCACAGTCATCACCACCTAGAAAAGGGAACAGCCCAGTTCTACCAGGAGTCCAGCTGTGCCCCCAAAATGGGGACCCTGATGGTCTACTTCTCCCTGGGGGTTTACTCCTGGCTCACTGGAGTACCCTCCAAAGAAAGGCTGGGAAATAGACTAATGAACCGTGTAGCCCAGGCCCGGTCAGCCAGAGGCCAGCCAAGGCCTAGAAGAGGGTCACTAGTGCTTGGGGTGGCCAAGAAACCCTAGAGACCTCACTTACTCCCCCATCTCCTCTCCTGGTCTCCCCTTCCCAGCCCCTCAGTCCATAATCCTGATTCCCTGCCTGCTGAGATAGAGAGACCGTATTTGTAAGCTCAGAGTGTCATCTGCCTGTCCCTGAAGTCAGTCTTGGAAGTGAAAGATGGTAATAGAAGAAACGGAGCTCCTCCTTCAGGTCAGCAGACCTCCCAAACCTCACTGCAGCTGATAAAACCCAGTGCACAGGGAAGTTCCCTAGTTGTTCATAGGGAGCACCCCCCAACCTCCATTATACAGGGAAGTCCCTCTGAGCAGATGCATGTCTTCCTGCCACATGGGCCTGGTCTGTCCTTGCCTGTCAAAGTGGCTTCACTTAAGCCAGGGTGGATGAGCACCCGCAGGGCACAGAGCAGTGACAGGTCTCACCCACTTCACTGCCACCCAGTGAAACCAGCCTGAGGCTCGTGTCCCCACCGCCAGGCCAGCACATACCACACTCGGGGATAGGCCCATTCTAACCCAGAACTCAGCCTTTCAATCTCTTCCGGTGGCACCCAAGGCAAGTCCATGGGTGGGAGGCTGCCACCTGTCTAGGAAGCTCTGAACATTGGGGTGACGTCTGGCAGCACTTTGCGCAGCTGCCTGAGAGGTGAGGGGGCAGGCAGCCACTCTCCCAGCACCCAAATCCCCTTCCCGCCCAAGGAATCCAGGAAATACATAGGAAAATACAGTCTTTATTGGTCTTCTGAAACAACAAACCAGAAATATAATTTTGCCTTTAAAAATCTTCCATCTCAAGATGGAGATACCACCATTGACAACATCCAACCTTCCCCCCATTCCCTTTAGGCAATCCTCAGATCTGGTTTAAGCTGGCAAACCAAAAGAAGGAAGACTGCCCCCACCCCAGGGAGGGCATTTAGCAGCCTGTGCTGGGGCTCCCTCTACACCCCCTTTGGTGGAGAATGGTCTTCTCAAAGGCCTTTCTGCCCCCCTCCTACCCTGCTCCCCCACTATGCTCTTCTTTGAGATAGAAGTGCTGAGGGGTACAAGGCAAGCTGGTCTTGCCCAGTCCTGCGCTGTCCTTCCTCAGACGCTGGGCCTCAGTGTTCTGCAACCTCTTCCTGGGCCACCATTTGAGAACCTCCCTCCCAGCCTTAGGGCCAGAACCCAGTCCGATGTCTCCTGCCCTCTGTGGGTCATGGGAAAACCAGTGTCCTGCATCAGACTCATGAGGAGGGGCAGACCTAGAAAAAAGAACAGTGACCCCCGGGCCCTACACAGCTCTCTTCTCACTGCTACTCCCACCGCCCTGCAAGCAGGTATCCCTCCCCCTTTGGTGTAGTTTCAGACAAAGAACAAACAGGACCTGTGACTCATGCTCTGGTTTGGAGCCCAGTCCAGGGGCAATGACAGACTGAGCAAACCAAACCGTGGGAAAGGGCGCCCCACCACTGAAGCCGCTGAGCAGAGCGCAGCAGTCCTGGCCCTGCTCCTGTGTCTGTGTGGGAGATGTTGGCAGGCAGTGAACTTCAGCAAAGGCTACCTGTTTTCCCAAGATGCCACTGGTCATTCACAGAGCATGACCAAGGCCCCATCCGAGGTCACAGGCCCAGAGGTTCTGGAGAGGGAGGGTTGAGAGGCGCAGAGCAATGGTTCCTGGACTGCAGGCTACAGGAGTGGAAGTGGTGGGTATCCCCATGGGGCTGGCAGTGATGATGCATTAGGCTCCCTTGGCTCTCAGGAGGCTGCCATCCACACGCGCTGCAGCTTCAAGGCCTCTGGGCTGGTGTCCCTGGAAAACCCGGCAGGACAGGTGAGAGGGTTACCATGGTGACAGGCAGGCACATCCACTTGGCCCACTTTAGAGGATCTCAAAGGCATCCTGTGTTGTCAGTTTGGGTTTCTCCCCCCGTGGACTTGAGAAGATTACAGTAAAGCAAGCAAAAGTTCTGTGTTCTGAGTGCTAGAGATCCGAGGAGGGAACATGCTTCTGCTCCCTGAGTTCTCATAGCCTCTGTCTCCATGTGGCTGTGCGTGTGCATGTGTGTGAGATCTTTTCAACTGATGTGATCTCACCAGTGATGCTATGAGTGTTTGTGAAAGCGAATTAGTGAATCCAGGAGCACTGCAGTCAGTGTGGTTTCTAGCAGATATAGGGAGATAATGGCTTCAGCCACAGGAGTGTATTATAATCACAGCACTGTGCTAGATCCAGATGTCAGGGTTGGTATGATTGCACATGAGTACCAGCTCTTGAAAATTGGACCTAATTTTCACACTATGGATGATTAAGAATATCTCTCTGGCTTAGAAGAGAGTCACAGAAATGGACTATTGACTCTCAGATTACTTCCTCCCCAGCCCCTAAATGCAGATGAGGAGGGCTGAACAAGAGGTATGGAAAGTCACCTAGCTGTGACTACACCCAGGGCAGGAAGGGGAGTGCTTAGTCCAGAAGCTTCCACTTGCATTCTTTCTTCCCTATGGCCAGAAGTTCAGGGAGATCCCCCAGGTGTTCCAAAGATTTGGTGGCCCAGAAAGGGGCATCAGCAGGAGCCTTCAGCATAATGGCTGCTTCCCCAGTGATGGGAAGTCCACACTGTGGCTGGGTTTCTGGAGGGCTGTGGGGGAAGTGGAGTTGGGAACTATGACAGAAAGAAGGGCTGGCCCTTCCTGAAGCAGTTTCCATGAGTTCTCCTTGCCCTTCCTACCTGGGCCAGGTGGAGCTGGGCTCTTTCATGCTACAGAGGAGATCTGCTTCTGGTCCTCATGCTCGCCCTCCGGGTCTCCCATAAGGGGTTGGCGCTTCTTGAGCTCTCGGTGGTACTTGGCCATGAGGGAGGCATAGATGCAGCCATAGGCAGCAGCCACCACCATCATGATACACACGATGCCACAGACAACTCCAGCGATGATCACAGTGCCAATGGCCCGGCGCACGCTCACTGGCCGGTACCTCTGCTTCTGGGGGCAGGCTGTACTGGGCTCGGGCTCAGGCTCGGCACCTGGTTTGGGCTTCACAGGTTCCGGGCTGGCCTTGGTGCAGGGTGGCCCAGGACTATCCAGCCCAGCCGAGCTATTCTCATCCTCCAACTGGGAGCAGTAGTTGAACATCTCCATGGGGACCACGCGCATGTCCTTTCCCCTCAGCTCCTTGGGTAGGGTGCAGGCAAGCTGGTCTAGGCGCCCTCCTACATTGGGGAAGAAAAAAGGAAGGGGTGACCAGGCATCCAGAAGCTGGACTCCCTCTCCCCATCACCAGGTCCCAGAAACAGAAGGCCCAGAAGTTCTAGTTTCTATCAGTAATGCAGTCAGCCTTGGGATAACATAGATAGGTGAGGAAGGGAGGAGGGAAACTAGCATCTATGGTCAGTGAGGCATATACATCTTGTCCTTTAATCCATGAAGAAGCCATAGAAAATGGATATTGTTATGATTCCCATTTTATAGAGAAGCACACAACCATTTCAGTCATGTTTACTTGCTCTAGAGTCACACTGGCCCACAGGGTAAGACAATCCTGACACATGTAGTGCTCAGGAAAGAGTTGTCAGTGCAAAGAGAGAGCCAAGAGCCCTGCCAGACCACAGGTCTGCTCTTCTCCTTACCCCTGAATCTGCCTGCTTACCACCTGTATGCAAGCCCGGGGCACTGTGCTCCACACAGCATCTTACCCCTCCAGGGATCCTTCCTCACAAAAAGCACAAAAGTCAAAAGCCAAAGCCATTGCCAACACCACCACTCTGCCATGTAGGACCTTTTGGTTGCCTAAGAGTACCTCCCCAAGTACAGATAAAAAGTGTTGGGCGAGAATGTTTTTCTTTTCCTCTTTAGAGCAATCCAGTGGCCCCATCAGCACCACAACCTTAGCATATCTGAGTGCAGAGTCATATTGGGAGGGAATCCAGAAGACCTTTTCAGGCAAAGGAGAGGGACCAGTACTAATGGTTGGGGGGTGGGGTACAGGCAGCAATGAGTGCACAGGTTCACTATGACGATGGTGAAGCCTGCTCCACCATGGGGGCATGGAGATGCAGAACACAGGAGGGCAAGAAAGAGAACAGCCCTGGAGAATGAGCAGCCTGGACGTGCCCTGGGAGGTCACAGTTGGGTCCAGTGAAGTCTAGATGCAGGCAACAGACTGCAGTGCATCTCCCAGCCCTGTGTCCAATAGACACCAATCTTTTCCCAGGATCCTGATGAAAACAGCCAAGATTGTTTTTTTGAAGGAGTACAAGGTTGAAAGCAACTCTACTATTAAAAATTCCTGAAAACATACATTCCCAGTCCATGACCTTTCGTGCTGAGAGTTTAGTTCCTGATGACTGACGAAAGGGCAAGGGCGTTCCCTAGGGATAGCACATCGGTCTGGGTCTGAAGGCACTTGGCCTCTAGTTCCTCCCTTCCCCTGCCCCCCACCCCATGATGCTGACTGCCTAGGTGGCCTTGGCAAGTCTTATAACCAGTGAAATATGCCCAGGACTGCCTTTCTATAAGCAGGAGCTGGGTGTGGACACAGAGGCAACCTTATCTTCTTCCTCCAAAGACCCGGGGGTGAATCCAGGCTATGTCATCTTGTGCAAATTACTTAATGTATTTACTTGTGAGTCTTAGCTTTCTTGGTTGTAAAATAAGAAAGCTACCTCAATGAGCTTTGAGGATTAAGATAGATAATGTACATGACAAGATGCTTATAAACTGGGTACTATGCAAGTATTTATTATTTCCCCAGTTATGAAAATGGAAGAAATTACCATACTGACTAACATTTTGTGGCACTGTACAGTGTGTAAAGTGTTTTAATAACTAAGACAAGAATGTTGTGCAAATAACTGAGATTGTGACTGGGTATGAAATGAAAGGAGTGAGACTTTGATGAAAAATGTTAGCATTTTTTCCCCAGAAAGTTTTGATATTGATTCATTTATTCAGCAAATATTCATTAAGCTTCTACTTTGTGCTGGGCACCAAAATATATCTTATTAAGCCCATTTAATATTATGACTACTACTAGCAAATGAGCAAATAAGTAAGTTTCACTGAGAACTTAATTTATGCTGAGCACTTTTTAAGACATTTCACATGTGTTGTTTATTTGATCCTCACAATGATTCTATGAGGATTGTCATCCACCCCAATTTTACACATGAGGGCACTGACACAGAGACATGAATCAACTTTCTCAAGATCACACAGCTAGTGGGTGGCAGAGCCACACATCAAACCCAGATCTGGCACTTTTATCCACCATGCTTACTCCTTTGCCCTCCTTTTCCATTTTATTTAATCATTTCATAAGCCATAGAACTTTCTCAGTCAACAAAAGCGGGGAGGAAAAGAAAGTAAAACAAAGCCATTTGACTTCTTACTAAAGGCTTTGATAACAGAAGTTCTTGGGAGAGAGAGTTGAGATCATCATCAAAATAAAAATTTGGTTTTATCTGGATTTAAATGATATTCCACACTCCTGAAACTGTGGGTATTTAAGAGATTGTTGTATTTAGATAAACAAAGGTGGTTTTTCTTCTTCCTTCTATCATGCCAGAGAATCCCAGAGCCATACCTAATGGGACACAGAGAAACATTATCCTGTGTCTTCAAGTTCCCTCATGAAACCTATGAAGGGAGATGAAGCAACAGTGAGTCAATCTGAAAGAAAGAGAAAAGAGCCCTGACTGGTATGGCTCAGTTGGTGGGCATTGTCCTACAAAGCAAAAGGTCACCAGTTCAATTCTTAGTCAGGGTACATGCCTGGGTTGTTGCAGGTTTGGTCCTAGGTTGTGGGTTCAGCCCTAGGTTGCGGGTTTGATCCCCAGTTGGGTCATGTACAAGAGGCAACCGATTGATGTTTCTCCCTCTCATCAGTCTTTCTCTCTCTCTTTCTCCCTTCCTTCCTCTCTCTCTAATAAATAAATGATTTTTTTAAATGCTGAAAAAGAGAGAGAAGAGAAGAGAATGGAGGGGGTGGGGAGGGAAACACAGAGAAGAAAGAGGAACAGTGGGAAAGGAGGGAGACCATCATCCTGGCCTCGGCCCTGCTGATCATTTGGAGGCAAGGCTGAGCCTCCTTCAGTATGACTGGTGAAGAGGCAAGGCCCCCCGTTCTCCATGACCTTAGCCCTGAGTCAGCGCTCAGCCTCCAGGAAACATGTTGGACCACAGGTGACGCTCCCAATCCCTCACACCCAGGCAAGGCTGGCTGTGCTCACCTCGATAGGAGAACCACTCCATCCAGTGCTTGAAATCTCGCAGGTTACAGTCACACTCCCAGGGGTTGTCCCCAACCTGCAGCAGCTGCAGGCTTGCTAGGGGTTCGAATGTAAGCCGGTCCAGGTTCTGCAGGCGGTTGGAGCGTAGTGATAGGGAGCGTAGAGCAGGGAGCCCATCAAAAAGTCCAGGGGGCAGCTGGGCCAGGCCATTGATGGACAGGTCCAGGTGGCGGAGCAGGGGCGAGTGCTGCAGCAGGTCTCTGTCCAGGGTCCTGATGCTGTTATTGCGTAGCTGCAGCTCTGTCAGATTCGACAGGTCTCGAAAAATGGAGCTTGGCAGCTGGTCCAGGAAGTTGTTGGATAGGTCCAACCGCTGCAAGCTGGACAGATTGGTGAATGCCCAGCTTGGCAGGGCACTCAGCTTATTGTTCAAGAGCAGGAGGGTTCGGGTGGCAGCAGGCAAGTCTGGGGGCACAATCGTGAGGCCTAGGCCACTGCAATCCACCTCCAGATTGCTGGTATCACACTTACAGGAGAAAGGACAGGCAGGGAGGGCCTCCACAGCATACAGGGTGATCCAACAGGCAATCCCTGGGGGACAGACAGGTGGAAGGAAAGTGACAGGTGGGGGTTACCACCTCCTGCCTCTAGTCCTCCTCACTAGTTCATGTCATAGTGGCTTCTTGCCTTTATCTCCTTTGACCCAAGCCACAATCAATGCACACACTTAAAAAGATAACTAACAAACCCTGCTGTATTAATGGACATCACATGGTGTCAGTAGAGATCCTTGCCTCATAGCACATCTGGCAAAGGAATCACTTTCGTGGAATGTGATCCTGCAGAATGGCAGGCCTGAGTCCAGAGGACAAGCAGTGCTGGTCCACAAAGATGCTTCAGTTCATGTGGCAGCCCACGGCGGATCATTTCAGGAGCTTGGGCCCCACTGACACCATAGATGTTGACAAAGTGAAGGACATACGGATGTTTGGGAAACCTGCTCCCGTGTTTTTCTCTCAGTGTTACTGCCAGGAGAAGGTTCTTTTTGCACACTGCCCCGTCCCCTTGCACTCCCAGCCCAACCTGGAGCTGAACTAGGCTGAGACATGCCACACATTAGGGAGAGAGCACAAAGGTGCACTCTAAACCTGCCCCTCAACAACCCCCCCAGTGTGTCAGATCTGCATGAGTCCCACATCCAAGATGGGACCAGTGACTTAGGGTGAGGACCAGCCAGGAGCCCAGCCTACCCAGGGTCCAATCTAGAGACCAATGTGCAAATGATGAGGATGAGACACACAATTCCACTTCCCACTGGAGAGCACTTGTGCCCAGGCCACTGTAAATCATAAGGCCTAAGACAAGTTCCATATTTATTCTCATCCTAAAGCCATTCATGCCTATCATAGCCTGAGCTCCTGTTCCTAAGGGCTGCAGGGTAGTTTCTACAGAATGGATCTGTTCACAGCATTCCTTCTGTGGTCCCATGCTTTACCCAAGACTCTTCTGAGTAACCCAGCAGAATGGCCAGGAGCAGAGGTAGGGCCTCAGAGAACTATCACAAAAGGGTAGCTGGTTCCATTGTCTAGCAGACTTTTCTAAGAGTGACTGAAAAACCCCCCAAACTGTCCTCCTAAATATCAGAGAAGCCTGCTCACTGTGAAAGGGAAAAGGGATGAGCTCAGACTAGCTCAGCTTCACCAAGTCAACCTCAAGAAGCCCAGAGGAAAGGCCCCAGCCCAAGAAGCAATGGAAGTGTCCAGCCCTAGCTCATAGCCTAGGTGGCTTCACCCAGAGAAGCAGCAGCCACCTGACCCTGAGTGCCTGGCTGGAATGCTCTTTAGTCTGGTAGGTGTCTGGTTATCTGGTGTTCCAAAGGGCAGAACTAGAAGAACAGGATGGACTTATGTCCCTCCCCTGACTGGAGGATCGATGACAGCTGAGAGACACACTGTAAGGCTGACACCTGAGCCTCTAGGGGAAATGAGCACAGGCTTCGGCATGGAAGCCAACTGGAGACCGTTCCTGGCCATGTGGAGGCACCTGCTGCTCCCTCTCACCTCCTCACACTCTGAGCCCACCTGCTGCCAGGTTAGGCTGCCCCACACCACCCTGCACTGTGCATATAAAAATCAACCTTCTTCAGACTTCACATTCCTGAGAAAAAATTTCAACCTAGCTAGCACCCCTCTCAAAAGATTCTATGTACCTAGAAGCCACTCCTCCCCCACCCTCAAGAAATTCTGAGTGGCACAAAAGTCCTAGTGACAAGAAAACATAATCCTGTATTGCGAGGTGTTGAGTGATGCCAGAATGAGGTTGAAAGGGGATCTGAGTGGCTCGGGGATCAGCCACCCTCGTATGGTGAATAATTCAGGCCACCTGTGTTCAGCAGCTGCCTGGCCGGGCTGACCGTGCGAGGGGGGATGTCAGGCAGAGTATGTCCCTCAGGACCACCTTTTGCCTCCTACCATGGAGCCTTGGGCAAACTGGTCCTCACTGACCTTGTCCCTTTAGCTCGTACAAAGAGAATTCTTGGGGCTTCTTCTACCCTGGCAGCTCTGTAAGTTTCCTTATGGGTAATGGAGGGTCTGTTTCCTCACATGCAGGAGGGGTTGGACCCGGCCTAAGGTCCTTTCCAGCACCACATCCCAACAGCCCACGAGTTGCCCTCATTTTAGAGTTGGGAAGACAGAGGCATAAGAGAGGTCTCCAGGTTCACCCAGCAGGTAGTCCAGTGAGACGAGAGGGAGGCCCACTTTACAGTGACAGGGCCACAGGAGCTGGAACCATTGGCAGGGCTGGGGGACTTCATGGTTCAAGAACAGACCAACTTGGGGAGACAGAATCATCTGTCATGGCCTCCAGCTCCTGATCTAACCACTAAAGCTCTCAGCAGTGACCCTTTCTTTAGCTGCCACAGATATCAGAAGCATGGCGGGTCTGCACAGGGTAAGCCCTGCCTTCCCAGAGCCCGGCCTTGGGCCCACCAGGAGATCCTAAACCTTTCTGCAGCCAGGATGCCTCACTGCAGGCCAGGCTGACCCCGCCACCCGGACCCTGCCCCACCCCACCATACTCACAAGAGATCTGCCTCCACTGCAGGGCCAGCCTGGTCCTCTGCTCAGGGCCACTGCCCAGGGCCAGCATGGTGAATGCCACAGCTCTCACAGCCCTGCACCTCTGGGGACAGAGGAGCCCCTTGGTATGCACCGCCGGTCAGTCCTGAGAGAGAGAGAAATAGAAGGCGCTCCACAGAAGCAGGCATTTGAGCCCCAGGCCCATCCAGCCCAGGGGTTAGAGAGAGGGCCCCGGTGTCTCTTTACACTCCTTGTCATTCCCTCTCCTGCTCCCAGCTACGATTCCCTGGGTGGGGGGAAGAAGAGGACTAAGGGGGCAGAGACTTTAGGAAAGCTTCCATCTCCCTGGGGTGATGGGGGCAGCAGGCAGGGGCTCAGGCAACCCGGGAGCCCTCACTCTGAGGCACAGTGCTGAGCTCTGCGCTGTGGATGCAGGAACTACCCCACACTCTCCCCAGTGTCCCCACCCCCAGCCCTTCTCCTCTTCTGGTTGCCTCTGTGGTGTGTTGGTCTCCGAAATGTTTTCAGAGCCATATGGCCTTTCTGTGTCACAGGGGAGAAACTGAGGGACATCTCTGCTGGGCAAGCACAGTGAGGTCACAGCCCCACCAGTGCTCTTACACTCTTACCATGGCCCCGAGGAGGCAGGGAGCAGGCCCTCCTCAGGTGCTCTTGCTGCCAGGCGGCCCCTGCTTCCCCTCACCTTGGCCTGAGGTGAGAGTCGCAAAGCTTGGTGTCTGCCAGCTGGTCTGTAGTAAGACTCACTGGCTCAGGGCTTCATGCTGCAGCAGCTGGTTGAGTAGGAGACAGGGACACGGAGGAGAGGTGAGATGTCAAAGCAGGTTTCTCTTCCAGAGAGCACAGAAGAGAGGGCCTTGAGGACCTGCCTGCCCCAATCCAATGACTCGTAAGTGGGAGACAGGCCCTCCTCTGGTCCCCACTTCCTTCCCAGTTTGGCCAACAGCCCTTAGAAGGAGCCAAGAGCCTCCTCCTCGCTCCCAGCCCCATCAGAGGGTGGACAAGGGAACTGTGGTTCTTGCCACTACAGCTAGCACAGAGCAAGGTGGGGAACAGGATGGTGGGGCAGAGGGAGACTCTGCCAACAGCCCAGCCCCCTCCTGCTCCCAAAGGCACAGTCCTGTCATTCGCTGCTCCTGGTTGCCTCCTGGAATTTGACCTTTCTTGGTTGTCTAATTCATCCTCGGGTGATTCTTCACTGCAGCCCCTCTCTCTCCTCCCACAAGCCTGGTTAATTCTGGGAGCCCAAGAAGCCAGTGGCAGAGTTAAGCAGACAGCTGAGGAGGTGGAAAGAGCTGCTGAAATCTTGGGTGAAGCAGGGTTTCCCGCAGGCATCTAGGGTCCTGCCGCAGCTCTAGGTGTCTGTCATCAAGTCTCTGCCCCACCCCCTTGGTTGCAGCTGTCTCCTGCAGGGTGCCAGAATGCGCTGAGAACACGGCAGCCCCACGGGACTCTCTGCTGTGCTCCCAGCAAGGGCAGCCTGCTCAGGACAGGAGGGGCCCTGCCTGTTCCTGGCTTCATCTTCATTCTCCCCCTCCACCACATCAGGAGGCTCAGTTATGAAGGCCTCATGGTGGCTGGCAGTGTGTCTCAACAACTGGGTACAGATGTGTGGTGTGGGCAGCAGCCTGGTCCTCACAGTGCCTCCTGGACAGTTCCCAAGACTTGGGCTGAGGTGTGGGGTGGATGTTTGGAGTAGCTCAGGTGTTGTTCCCTGGCTGCTCCCCCAGGGCCAGGCCAGTGGGGTGCTGGGTTCAAATCCTCGTCAGGTCAGTCCCTGGCTGTGCAGCCTTAAACAACCAGCATACACTCTCTGGGCCTCAGTTATCTTAGCTCTAAAAGTGATGACTATAGTACTTAATTAGGTGGAATTCCTATAAAGACCAATCTAATTAAGGGAGGAGAGTTAACATTTACTATAGTTAGCACATAAATTACCTTTCAAGATAATTCAGGTGAATGTGCCCAGCTTGGACCTGAGCCCAAGAGAGATGTGAGGAAATACCAGCAGCTGACAGCAGGCCTATGGAACACCTCTTACTGGTCCCACCAACCTCACGTGGGCCAACTGCCGTCCTCCCAAGCACAAGCTGCATTCCTGAGCCTGCCCAGGCCAGTGGACCATCAAGAAGCTCCCTGCAGGGAGGGATCCCAAACACCACCTCACAGGCCTCTGTCACAGACAGCAGTGTCCACCCTCTCTCTGTCCCTCAGGTCCAGACCCTCAGAACAATTTTTTACTCCAGCAAGAACCTTTCATAGCAAAAACTCACAGCACCCACACGGTATTAGAGCAGGTCAGTGCCCACCAAAGGCACAGAGACAATGACTAACTTGCCCAAGGTCACAAGTAGGTCAGGGATGGAATTGCAGGTTTCTGAGCCTGACTGCTCATGCACTCCCCAGGGACTGTCACCCAGCATGGCCCCTGTGCGGAGACACTGTGTGCTCACAGAGTGGGGTGCACACAGGCTCCCAGCTCCCAGACACGTGCTTGGAGCTCCCAACACAGCACGTGGTACAAACACACACCCACAGGGAGCCGTGCAATGAGGCATGTGTTAGCACACGCACGCATGCCCACACACATGCACACACGATGCCCTGCTGGCAGCCCTCCAGCACTCCTCCTCGCAGCCAGCTTTCAGGTAGCAGGGTGAGAAGCCTGGCAGTTCCTGAGAGCCCCAGCCAACAGATGTCCAGGGACACGTCCAGCCTAGAAGTAAGGTCTATAGCAAACCCTCCAGGTTGATCCCTGCCCCAGGATGTGTTCTCTGCTCACACCCACACACAGATGGGGACCCAATCCAACCATCAGCTCCCACTCTACCCAGCTTCCTGCAGGGAAGCAGCGGGTGGAGAACCCCTCTCACCCAAGCCCAGGCCCTATTTCCACCTGAGCCTCCTCTCCTCTTCCAAGCAGATACTCCTTTCTACCCCATCTACCCTTGCCTGGCCTCAGTGTCCTCCAAGAAGTGAGCCCAGGGGTTGACCAGCAAGCACCACTCCGTGGAGGTGGTGGCTTCAAGGGCAGGTCCTGATGCCCTGTCCCCTGAATGATGTCACTATACAAAGCAAGTCAGGCAGGTCTCTGCAATGCAGACCCACAGGTGATATCTTGCAAGGTGTTAGGACACTGTTGGCCCTGGTATCTCTAGAGAAATGTGAAAGGAATGAGGAGCCCGGGTCCATGAGGAGGACCTGTGTTCCCTGGGTTATTGACCCTGCCTCCTTGAGCACCAGAAAAGTGGCCCTTACGGAGATATGGGCTTGAGCCCAGCACATTCTAGCTCTTGGCCTCTGTCCATCAGTACATCTCCAACCAAAGGGCCTCTTCTCGCCTCTGGAAGTCTCCAGCCTCATTAGGAAAGGGATGACCTATATGAGGAAGCTTGGGGAGCAGCTGCTACAGCAAGCGCTGATGGGCTGCTGGAATAAACCACTGCCATCCAGGAGGGCAGCCCCCACCCAGGGTGGAGAATGGGGGCAGACAAAGAGTCAGGGGCCCTGCCAGAAAGCTCTCCTCTCCAAGCCCCACAGCCTCGTGGCTCTAGATGCTGGACCTGCTCCAAATCTTCATGAGACTTTTTGTCCCAGTTCCAGAGAGAGAGACACCAGAGAGCAAGGGGAACCTTCTCCAATGGGCTTTTCTGGGAGAACCAGGATAGGGCCGAGGAGCTAAAAGCAGTCAAGTAGGGAACTCCCTGGGAACGGAAACACAGAGCTAAGTGCTCCTACCCAAAGTGTGGTCCATGAACCTGCCACATGGGCTCACCTAGGAACCTCTTAGAAATGCAGAATCTCAGGCCCTGCCCCAGGCCAACTGAATTAGAATCAGCATTTTCACAAGATCCACACCATTCATATGCATATTCCAGTTTGAGAAACACTGGGCTGGATCACTTCTCTCCCAGCTGATCCTAGCACCCCCAGGAGGCCACGCTGGTCTGTCTGTGGAAGCCAGGCACCAACCAGGTGGTGTCAGTGACCTGGGCAGAGAGGAGAGGGCACTGGCGACAGCCCCTCCTTCCAGAGCCTCTGTATGTGGAGGAGCCATTACCATAGCTGCAAACACCCGGGGACAGTGTCCTTAGCCCTCATGACAGCTCTAGGAGGACAGTGGTATTACTAACACCATTTTGTAGATGAGGAAAACTGAGGCACAAGAAATTGAGTAACTTCCCACAGGTTAGGTAATGGAAGAATGCAGCTCTGGGCCCGAGTGATCTGGTGACAAAGCTCCTAACTCAGCTGCCGTTATAGGTTTTCAGGTCCTTTCTGCTCCTGACTCACTTCCACACAGAGAGGTTCCTGATACAGGAAGGAAAAGGCAGAAAAGGGAGATGCCACCTTTCATTTGTGCAGAACCTTGCGGTTAATGGGCGTTTCCTCATTTGCTCTCTCACTGGAGCTGAGCAGACCCGTGTTCTTATCCCTCCTACTCTGGGCCTTGCCAGACTGAGACGCAAGCCGGGTCTTACCCTCCCCCACCTCCCACCCCCCGCTGCCCTCTGTCCAGAAATATCACAGATGCAGCAGGAAAAGCTCCAGAGGCTAAGATCTGGTCAAGAGAGTGGAGGGGGCTTTATAGAGGTCATTCTCGTGGAGGGCGGGATGCTGAGGTGAGGAGGGTGGGCTGGGAGCCCCAGGGATGCCAGGGTGGGAAGGCAGTGATGGAACAGGAGGCAGCAGGAAGAGCAGAAGGTTCCACATGCTCCTGTTGAGCTAAGTAGGTGCAGTGTCCCCTGGAGCCTAGGGGGTGGGACCCACTTCCCTGGGGGGGCACCCACGGGGAGGAGCAGCCTGCCCTGCTCTCATTCCCTGCAGATGCTCAGATTAGGATGACTCTAAGCCCTAGCCTCTCACGCCTCTGCCCCAGCCACCTCTCCTACAGATGGAGGTTAATCCTCCAAGTAAAGTGGGCTTAGGCTCCAGCTAGAAACCACCAAGCAACCCACCACAGGCCTGGTGTCCATGCCCCTTCTTCTGATGCTTCTGCATGTTCACGCCCCCAAGTCAGGTGTCCAAACCACGCAGCCAGTTAATGCCCATTGTGCCTCAACCTGGGGTTCCTGACCCCTAGGAAGGCATGCTGGCCCCGCTGTGCACACCCTCCTTGATGTCTCCCTTTGATCAGGGCACCTAGACTCAGAAAGAGGGTCCCCCTCGGCACCAGACTCACTGAACCTAGAAGCAAAAAGGGCCTTTGCAGTCTTCTCTGCACCCCTTTTGTTCTGCAGAGAGGTGAAGGCCACAGGCTAGTGAGAGGCAGGGCTGGGGTTAGCGCCACTTCTTAGAGCTGCAAGGACAGTGTCCTCCTGACCCAGGGGGTCAAAGAGGGACCTGGATGGCAGAGCGTCCCAAGCTGAGCCACGTGTGGCAGGGACCGTGCTTAGCTGGGCTTTCTGACCTGCTGCCTCCACCCGGGGCCACCCAGACCCTGCCAGGAGACACTCTCAGTCTTTCCCTGCCAGCTGGCCCCTAACACATGCTGCCCAGGCAGCACAAGCAGGCTTTTCAAATTCTCTATATTTGTACTTGGAACAGACAAACGCTTCTGGTTCATTTTTAAATGCATGCCCTATTCTCACCCCTGGCTTCCTGCACCTGGTTTCTTTGTCAAGCAGCCCCCATCCCCAACAGACCCTCTGGGAAGTGGAACAAAAAGCCCCTAAGTCAGTCCTGGTGAACAAGCTGCCAGCTCACTGAGGCCCTGGCTCTGGGGCCAGAGCCGGGCTGGCAGGGGCGAAGGAGGCCTGATCTGGGTGTAGAAGGAGGGGACCCCAAGAGAGGAGACACTTCTTCTGCTTAAGTTCCTTCTCCTTTCCCCACCCCAGAGTGCCCCAGATACCCTGACATTACATAAACTCCCTGCCCCCTCGGCATGCTGCCCACTTAGCTCAAAGCAGCCCCCAAGTCCTGGCTTAGGTGCCTGGGAAATGGAACAGGGTTTGCTATCTTGGCCCCAGACCCAGCTTCCAGACAAACCCCAAAGAAAGCAGATCAGTTGCCTAAAAAACCTCCTCCCTTCTCCTGCCACCCCCACCTGGCTTTCCTGGTCTCCCTCTCTGGCAGCGCCAGGGACTGTGCCAGTGAGGAGATGGGGTGGGAAGAGCAGGAAGCTGCTATGGGTTTCCCTCCAGGCTGGACTTCCCCCGCCCATCTCCACGTGCTCAGCCTCCCTCCCCTCCCCCAGCTGAGGTAGTTATCTAAGCTGCAGAGTGTCAATCCGAGTCACAGCCAACGTGCCTTGACAGCCAGGAGCCAATCTCACCACCATCACCCCCAGAAACACAGAGCACACGGCTCAGGGAGGAGACAAAGCAACCACCTGGAACTGAGTGGGAGGTGGGGACTCCCAGTCAGACCCTCTCTCTGTCTTGTCAGTATGGACCTTGGGGCTGCTGAGAGAGGCAGTCCTGCTCCCACTCAGGTGTCCATGACCCACTGGGCCGGGAAGCCAGGTAGGCATAGCCTGTTTGCAGACTACCTGCTCCCCCTAAGCTAAGTCCACACCCCCACTAAACCCCAGGTGAGCTGGGAGCAAGGCCTGGGGCTCACCAAGGAAGAACTGCAAGGCTCTTCTCCCTCATCCATTCCCAGCCACACCCCCACCAGGGTGGCTTCCCCCACAGCTGTGTGGACCCACATCCAGCCAGGCAAAGGCTCCTCTGCAGCCTTGTCCAAGGACAGCCGCCCAGAGGCCATGGCCCCATACTGGGGGTACCCTGTAAAGAGGCTGAGACCATGAGGTCTGTTCCCAGGCCTCAGTCATCACAGCCCTCCAGCCCACCACCCCACCCTGCACCACCATGCTCTGTACAAGCCTTCTCTCCAGCACCTTTCTTCCCACAGAACCAAGTTCCTCAGGCTGTCTGCTGAGCCGGGCGGGCAGACTGCACAGGGTTCTTGGTGGCTGTCTCTGTGCAGCAGGGACTGGCTTCTATGCCACACAGGCCTGTCATCTGGCACTGGCAGTGCCGTCCTCCCACCTGTCCTTCCCTAGCCCCCCTCTCCCCAGCAGAATCCCAGCTCCGGTCCCTAACATTGTGAGGTCAGAGTTCCCTGTGCCGTGTACCTCTGGGCCGCCCAGATGCCCAACCCTGAGCCCTTCCCCAGCCCCAGCATTGCCCCCAGGCAAGGGGCAGCAACACCTACCTGTCTGTGCAGGGCAAAGAGATCCAGCGAAGATGGGACTCAAGTCCCCATGCCCCAGCCACCCTCTACCCCCACGAGTCCTTTATTCCTTCCCACCAACGCACAGCACTCACCTTCTTTCACCCTGACCTAGAGATCCTGAAATCAAGTAGCTGTAAACTGTCCAATGAGCCGCTCCTGGGATTCCTGGAGAAACCCAGGCAGCACCGCCAAGCAGAGCGCAGTGGGCACTGAGCCCCCAATCCGGCGGGAGCAGGGACCTGGCACGCAGTGCACCGCACAGGGAGAAGGAATGCCTGCCGCCGCCGCTGCCAAGGGGACAGGGCTGCTGGGTCAATAACAAACTGAGAGGGAAAGAGGGAGGGACAGAGAGGAGAGGGGAAGAAAGGGGAGAGGAAAAGAGAGCGCGCGCGAGCAAAGAGATGGAGCAATGGAGTGACAGCTGGGGGTACATCTGTGATGACAGCGACAGTAGCACACACAGCCGGAGGAGCGCGCGCACAAGGCGCGCGCACCCACGGGAGGCGCTCACGGCCGGGCCGGGGAGGGCAGCGCTCACCCTTGAAATGCTCACATTTCAGTGGAAAAAGGGCCTATGGATTAATAGCTCCCAACTCCAGGGAGGCGAAACGCTGTTTTACCATGCATCTCCACCTTCCTTCCCCTCCCCGCTCTGCTCCAGGCTCTCCCCGCCCTCGGCCCCCCTCTCCGGCTCAGCCTCTCCCCTCTCTCCCTTTTCCTTTGGGGAAAGAGGGTCAGGACCCAGGTGGCAGAGGCCCCCTGGGAAGCTGGGTCTGTCACCTGTTCAAACATGTGGGGTGGCATTGCCCATCCTGCCTGTGGAAAAGGAAAAACTGAACCCTTCTCTCAGTCAAAGGGGCATTCATTTCAGGCAGGGTAATTGGAGGGGCTCAGAGCGGGGCCATGTGCCTGCTGTCCTCAGAAGGAGTTCGGAGCCTACCTAGGAGCCAGGGTCACGTAGTCATGCAGAGGTCACTGAGCCTCAGTGCCCACAGTCCCAGGCTACTTAGTGGAGCAAAATGTCAAGACCTGCTGGCGCTGATGGGCACACTCTGTAGGGCCCTGAGTCGAGGAACACAGGCAGGTATTCAGGAACTCAGAGGCCTCTTTACTAACCAATCAGGATGAAGACTGTTGGAGAAACTGATATTCTAAGAGACAGCCAGTGTCTGATCCAAAGGCAAAGGAAGCTAAGCTGATGGCCTGGGCATTGACCCCGAAGTGACCCTTCCTTGCAGTTCTTAAAGCTGGCCAGACAAGCAGATGGCAGATTGTGTGGCATGCTGGCAATGCTGGACGTGTCAGGGGTATCCCAGCGTCCCTCTTGCATTTCACATTCTTTCCTGGGGGATTCACCATCAGGACTGGGGGTGGGGGTGGAGAAAGCCCCCTGACTCAGGACACCAATACCAGGACACTCCTGCCCCTTCTTTCTGTCTGCTCTGCAGGCCACACCGCAGTGGAGGGCCCGGGCTGCTGTCCCAGGGTGGGGGAAGAGCCTTTTACCTCCTGAGAACGCCCCTCACCTACACAGATGTTACATGCATCTTGCCCTTCAGGCTAAATGCTCCCAACGACCCCAAAACACACTTCCCACTTTGCAGCCCCAGAACACGTGTCCTTCCCTGAAGCTGGAATGCTTCCCTGAAAAACTAAACCACAGCCTGGCCTCCTCTGTGACGTTTCCCTGGCTAGTCCACAGACTGGACCTTCTCCTCTGATCTATGGCCTTTCTTTAGGCCACCCTGTGGTTATCACAGAAAATGTATGGCAACTTTCTGTGGTGGCTTTGCCTGCTTTCCTGTACCGTGAGCAGTTCCAGAGGAGGGCCTCGGCCTCGCCCCAGCGAGCGCTGAGCGCGGGAGAGGAGGGGATATCCAAGCCAGGCCCCGGAGGCTGCAGAGTCGGACTCTGCCACTCACTAACTCACTCGGTGATTTTCAAACTTCTTCATCTCATGGCACACATAAACTAATTACTAAAAATCTGCAGCACGCCAAAAAATATATATTTTTTACTGATCTGGCAAAAAAACAGGTATAATTTTGATTCATTCACACCAGGCACCTATTTTGTTGGCTGTCGTCATATTTTTATTTGATAATCTAAGGAAAAAGAGGTCAGTGACCCTGACTAAATGGTCAGGTATTGCATGTTTTAAAAATTCTTGTGGCTCACCAGTTGAAAGTTGCTCTGGGTGTGGGGGAAATAAGGGGACTAAATGGTAATGGAAAAATATAATAAAGATCAAAGATTACTTCTGAAACACAAAAAAAGAAAAAGAAAAACAGAGAAAATCGCTCAACTAGCTAATAACTGGTTAATTAACTGACAACTCGGGGCCTGGGCTTTCTCCTGTAGAACAGGAGAGTGGGGTGGCGAGGCCTCTGGTCTCCCTCCCGGCAGGGGCACTCTGTGACCCAAATATTCGCTGCGCACCTGCAGACTCCCCCCTGTGTTCGGCAAGGTGGCCCCTCCTAAGGCTGCAGTCTGCAGCCTGGGTTATCCAGGCAGAGGAGGGAGAGGACGAAGTAGATATGAGACCTAGGAGGAAAAATGTGGAATTTCTGATTCCTCGGGATCACGGCCCTGACAGGCACTATCCCTCTGTGCGTGTGCAGGTGAGTGTGAGTGTGTGTGTATGCACAGCTGTTTTGTTTTGCCTTCTGTGATGACAAAGCAGCACTGAGGTGACAGCCAGGACCCAGGCACAGCAAGGAGGTTCATCTTGATAAGCCGTCTGCCGCCTGTGGCCCTATTGAGGCTCTTTGTTAGGTTGTCTGCCAGCCAAAGAGATCTTAAAGAAAAGCTGCTTTGGAAGAAAGCTCGAGATCATTGTGGAGAAGCAGGCGAGAGAGAGGCGGGAGAGGGACGAGGCTGGGCTAGGGCCAGGAATAGGGGGTCTAATTTCTCCTCTGTCAGGTTGTGGCAGGTCCCTTCAGGACGGAGGTCAGGGTCTAAAACAAAGATCCACATGCAGAGGCATGTGGCGGGTGGGGTGGGGGGTGCACGTCACCCCATGAGGGGTGGGGGAGGCTGCCCTCCAAGGCCAAGTGTGCCCTCACATTCCCTGGGGCCCTTTTGCTTGGATTTCTGATGTCACCATGAGTTAGTACTGAGCCTGCCTATGAACAGTGCCATGAGATATCAGCTCCTGCACAGTAGGTTTATTAGGAGGTGCTGGAGGAGGGCAGCCAGCCTGGCGCTGCCCCGGGTGAAGGTCCACCAAGGCTCTGACAATAGCTAACAACCCAAGTAGCAAGTGACCAGAACAGGAACCCAAGCTGCCCTGGTGGGTACCCCAGGAGAGAAGACTGGGCTTTCTCAGTGTCTGGGGAGGAAAAGCACTATTTGGGTTGTGAGGCAGGAGCTGAACAGAATGATTTGAAACGATTAAAGCCAAAGGGTACATGCCGTTGAACCTGGCAGAACACAGTGGGTTTGTTGTTGAGGATGTTCCCGTACTCCTCGCCACCTTCCCCATTCCACACCAGCCAGCATCTGACAGTGCCTATCATAAGGAAGTTCTTGGTGTCCCACCCAAATTCCCCATTTAGTGGATTTCCTCCTAGGTCTTCAAGGGAATCACAGCACAGCTAAATCTCTAGGATTCAAGTCTAGCTCTGTATAGCAAAAAGGAGCTCAGCAAGGTCTCAAACCCCAGAGGCAAGGGACAAAGAGATCTTGTAGAATTTGCTTCCCAATCAAGCGGCTGACGCAATGGAATTCACAGGTATTTCTTTATTTCACCCCACTATTCTGTGTGCTATTCTATGTGCTAGGGATCATAACTCAACCCTTTGCCTGCTGTTAGCCATGGTATGTAGGCAGACAATAAATGAGAATAAAATAAACAAACCACATCGCTTAGATAAAAGGATAAATAAAAGGAGTGATGAGGTAGAGAATGAATAGCAGAGGGGAGGACAGCTCTATCTGAAGAGGCATCTCTAAGACATGATGTTTGGGATGAGATCTGATGACAAGAAGGAGCCAGCTGGGTAAAGTTCTAGGGGAAGAACATTCCAGAAAGAGAGAACAGCTGATGCAAATGCCCTGGAGTGGGAACAAGTTTAGCACGTTGGAGGGAGAAAGTGACTCCCACTGAAATCAGAGACATCACAGGGCCAGCTCCTTGGAGCCTTGCACACAACATCACAAAGGTGTTTCGCTTTTGTTCAAAGAGCAGTGGGAAGGAGTGGGAAGCTTTTAGGCAAGGGAGTGACGTGATGTGATCTTCAGGAAGATCGTGCTCATGGCTGTGTGAAGAACAGATCATGAAGGGCAAGGAAACCACTTGGGGGTCTATTGCGTTAATTTGAGTGAGAGAGAGGGTGGTTCAGCCCAGACTGGTAGCAGGGATGGGGGAGAGAAGTGGACAGACTTACTAAGTTTTGGAATAAGGTGTGCAGAACTTGGATGGGATGGGGAAACATGATATTAGGTAGAGAATCTACCCCCAAATGGGGAAATCGCAAGGAGTGGCAGGTTATGGGAGGAAATGCCAGAGTTAGATTTTGAACATATGAAGTTTAAAATGCCTACTGTTGACTCAAGTGGAGTTGTCAGTAGGCAGCTGGAATGGCCTAAACTCTGTGAAGGATACCTAGATGCAAAGGACCCAGAGTTTGCCTTGGAGGAGCTTGTAGTCCAGCTGTGAGACAGAACCCAGCAGGGGAAAACCTTCTCTGTGCCCTACTCCTACCATTTCTACCTGAGAGCCCCCAAAACCTGTTCCATTAGGGAAGAATTAACCCCACCCCCTCAACTCCCTCTGTCAGAATCATTGAATTTCTTCCAGCTCAGAAATGTCATGCTCCTATAAGACTTGGCACTGACCCATAGGTAAAGAGACAGAGTCTGAGAGAGCTTGGCCCACAGGGGCTAAGGACCAGGGTAAATAAACATTCCTAAATCCCAAAGAGCTAATCATTCTAAGCATTAGGGTGACTCCCCTCTGGCAATTTTTAGAAGGCTTCTCACTCAGTCTTTCTCTACAGGTGAAAGAAACCTGTGTAAAATGAATATCAAGAATATTAAGAGTGTTCTTAAAGGAAGAATAAGGGAGAGGGACTGAGGGACACCTGCAGCCTCAGGAGGAGAGAGATGTGAGAGGGACAAGGGGTGTGGCAACCATGGTTGCTGATCACACCTGCTGTGTCTGTGTCTCTCATGAACCAAGAAGTGGGTCTACTTGTCCCTTCCCTACGACTCCTTTCAGCCACCTGGACCTTGAAGCAACAAAGAAGGCCCCATAGAACTCAAATGTCCCCATATCACAGGGCCATTTGAGACGGCTAGCCCGAGTTCCGGCCACAGAATTGCCAGGAGACCCCAAGGAAAGGGAGGGGCCTCAGTTTCTTGATCTGTAAACGCAGAGCTCCAGAATTGCATTGTCCAACATGGCAGCCACCACCCATAGGTAGCTATTTAAATTTAAATTAATTTAAATTAAATTAAAAATTTAAAACTCAGGTCCTCACTCATAGTAGGCACATTTCAAGGACTCAGTAGCCACATGTGACTAGTGGCTACTGTGTGGGACATTCAGATCTAGAACAGCTTCGTCATCTCAAAAGCTTCAATCGGACAGTAATGTTCTACAACAGTGGTTCCCAAAATATGGCTCCTGGACAGCAGCCGCAGCATCACCTGGGAGCACTTTAGAAATGCAAATCCTCAGGCCCCACCCCAGATATACTGAATGAGAAACTCTGGGGACAGGGTTTTTCCAGACCTTCCAGGTGATCCTGATGCCTGTGAAGTTGGAGAATCAAGATGCTCCAGCCCCTTGACCTTCCCCTGGTCTTTCTCTCCCTCATCAAATTTCTCTGGAGCACTTCATGTTGAAAAAAACAGAAGGATACAATTCTGTATCTCTGCACCAGTCTGGAAGGGAAGCCCATTTTAGTTTTTTCAATAAACTTTTAAAATTGTATGTATGTATGTATGTTTGTATGTATTTTAGAGATAGTGGAAGCAAGATAGAAAGAGAGGGAGAGAAACATCCGTGTGAGAGAGAAACATCAATCGGTTGCCTCTCGTATGAGCCCCAGCTGGGGACCAAACCTGCAAGCCTGGCACGTGCCCTGACCAGGGTTTCTCTTTGGGGGGTGATGCCCAACCAACTGAGCCACATGGGACAGAGCATTCCAGTCCATTGTAGAAGAGCCATCTGAGCCTCAGGAAGTTAGAATGATTGTGATGGAAAATCTCTCCAATGAATGCCATTGGGGTGACTGTAGAATGTCTCATGAAAACAGCATGATGGCTGGAAACCCAGGTGCATTCCCATTTTTCAGATGAGGGAACTGAAGCCCAGAGTGGGCAAGTGCTTGCCTCTCAGCTCCTCAGGACCGCCAGGGTTGTGTCAGGCCTAGGGGATACAGAGGTTAAGAGCCTTAGAGACAGACTCATGAGACTTGGTTCAGCATTTAGGGGCTAGGTGACTTGGGCAAGCCATGTAATCTCTGTAAGCCTCTGTGTCCTCAGCTGTGAAGTCTGAGTAATAATAGAACTGGTCTGCTGTGTGGATGAAACAAGCTCGTGGACATAAACGTCCCTGGCACTCAACACTTTTTTGGTATTATTATATCAGGCAGTAGGAAGTCAGCCTAGATTTTTACTCTTTCTTTTCAATATAAGCTGCTTCCCCCACTCCTATCCTTTGGCCCCAAATTTCTCTACATCTATTTGGGAACCAAACAGGCACAAGTGGCCCTTGTAAGTGGCATCACCAAAAGAGTAGTTTTTGCAGGCTGGACAGTCTCTAGTTTCCTGGGACCTACCTGCAAACCTGGGAGAAGCTGGGTACGAGAGGGGTTGTTACCTCAGCATGGAGGTCTAGGAGGCCCCACACACCTAACCCACAGTGGCCGTGAATTGCCAGCCATTTTTGGTCACATGACCTTGAACAAATGGCTCAGTCTCTCTGCCTCTGTACTCTTCCATCTGTGGGAAAGGGGGACTTGTGTGCCCGGTGCACCTGCCTTGAGATCCCCAAGACCCGAGGGTGAGTGCCATCCTCAGTGTTTTCTAGAACCCAGGCCTATTTCTAGTACTATCTGCCGTGGAGAGGTGGAAGCCACCAGTCTGTCTTCTTTTCTCCCTGACCCCACTCCCCAGAACCTCAGCCCACAGGCTGCCATCTGACACAGCTCTCCGCACCCCTTCTCTGCCCTGGTGCTGCCCCTCAGTTCTTGCTGATGCACCCCTTCTCTTTAACTGGAATTTACTTTTTTCTCTCACTGTCTCCTCCCTCTTACCACCCACCTCCCCCAAAACAGCGGTGGGTATCCAAATGAGGCTGGACTTCCTGCATCACCTGTTCTGGGCAGCCACGCAGCAGGTGGGTGTGATGGGGGGTGGCGAGGTAGGGGCCAGAGAGCTCCCCAACATATCCATGGTGAACAGGGGCTGGCACTTTCAGACCCACTCCCCCAGCTGCCCTACTGCCTCCCAAAACCCACCTCCTGGGTCCCCATCAGCTCCTGGATCCTTTCCTCTGCCTATGGCCTCAGTCTCTGGTCCCAGCCTCCCCAGCCAGTGCTCTGTCTCAGCTTAAACCTGGGACAAGGGGCAGGAAACTGCATTCTCTCTGGGACTGGCCTGCCTTTCACTGCGTCTTTGCTGCCCCAGGTCCCCCACACAGCAGAGTAAGGAGACTGCCCTCCTCCAGCCCTCCAGCCAAAATCCAAGCCATGTCTGCTCTCTGCCCACTAAGAGCTCAGCCTTACCACTGCCCTTTCCATTCTACCTCTTGCTTTCCGGCGGTGGGCCCCAGAGGCCTCAGACTTGGCTCCTCCTATGCTTGCTAGGGCTCCTCACTGTCCTCCACAAGCTCCTCCAGCCCCGAACCTGCCCCCATGGACTGAGCCTCCTCTGTTCCCTGGCCCCCATTCACTTGTCACTTGTTGCTGTGCCCTCACTTTGAGGGCACAAGTTCCAGAAACCAGAGAGTGAAGGTGGAAGGGATGGCAGGGGGAAGGAGCAGCAGCCCAGTAGCCTGAGGTCAGCTACCACATCATGCAGGATGACAAAAAACAGTAAGAAGCCACCCCCATGCGCCTTTCCAGCAGTGCAGCTGACTGACAGTTGCCCCTCAGCCATAGCTGCCGGGGCCGGGCCTCCCTCCGAGAAGGCTGACCCAGCCAGCAAGGACACTGCTGCAGTGCCCTGCCCCCACTACCAGACACCACCACACACACATGCACATACCATACACCACATCAAATACACACATGTACACACCCACATGGCTACCAACATGCAATATACACACACCACACAGCACACATACAAAGTATATACCACATATACCATACATGGGTACACACTGAACATAGATACAGCCACACCTGTGCAGGTACCGCTAGCATACCATAAACACACATCGCCAGTCCCCAGACATCAACATATAGCACAAATGCACCACACACACAGCACTCCCACAATCACACACCACATATTTCCACACAAATGCTCAGGCACACATGCACAATTGACAATCTCTCTTCTTCCTTCCAGTGCAGTGCTGGGGATGGGCTGTGCCCACAGAGCTGCCGGGACAGTGTAAGTCCTCCCCCGGTGTGAAGAGGATGGAAGCGGGAGTGTGGGAGCTGTGGGCCCCTCAACCCACGTCCTCTTGATGGGCCAGCTCCCCGGCTCCTAAGTGTGCTTCCTCCCTATAGCGCTGGCTCCACAGGGGGCACCTTCTCCCTAGACACAGAGGCTGCCTTCCCAGATGTCAGGACAGGCAGGGACCCATGGGGTGGGGCGCGGACCTCACCTCCTTTCTGGGTGTCTCCTCAGGACCTGGACTGCTTCGTCATTGACAACAACGGGTTCATCCTGATCTCAGGGAGGCCCCAGGAGGTAAGGCACTGGGGAAGTGGGGTTAGGGAGACGTCCAGGCATCCAACAGCCCCAGCTTCAAAGAAAGAGCTAATGGCCTCGGGAAGCAACATTGGTTTAGAGCAGATTAGAGTGCAAGGTCTGCAGAAAATGGGGTCTCTTCTTGAAACCAAAGCCACCATAGCAAGATTACAAAATTCAGACACTTTTCAACTCAGATGGCTATAAATAATAATACTCTTTAATTTTGTCCATAACTAATCAGGCCTTCTCCCATGGTTAGTGGGGAAATGGTCCACATACCAAGGAGAGGCTCAGCAAAGCCACATCTCAGGCCCCGTTTGTTTTCAGGGCGGGGGGCGGGAGGCGGGGAAGGGGGGCGGGGGGTCCTGGGCGGGGCCTCAGGGTGCCCCCTCCCAGAGCTCCGGGCACCTCGGGCACCTCGGGGACCTCGGGCACCTGGCTGCTCCCACTCTTTAGCTCCCTCCTGCTGTCCCACTGTCATGTCCCGCCCCAGCTGTCCATTCCGGCTGGGGCTGCCGTAACAAACATGTACCGATTGGGTGGCTTGTGAAACAACAGAAGTGCATCGCTCAGCATTCTGGAAGCCAGAAGTCCGAGATCAGGGTGCCAGCCTGGTGGAGTAACGCTCTCGTCCATCCGGGTCACAAACTTCTCCTGGTGTCCTCACGTGGTAGGAGGGACAAGAGGGCTCTCCGGGGTCCTTTACAGGGCCTTTAACTCATTTCAGAGGGCTCTGCCCCCTTCACCTAATCAACTCCCAAAGGCTCCACCTTCTACTGTCACCTTGGCGGTTAGGTTTTAACACATGAACTTGGGGAAACGCATTGAGACCATAGCTCCCTCCCCTCCTACCTTCACAAGGTCAGGAGGGCCAGGTCTTCCCTTTTGTGCTGTCTCCCTGCCTGGACCACCCCTGTGGAAAATTCTAACCCAGCAGCAAACACGCCGCTCAGTGTGCCGGCAGGGAAACAGAGGCACAGAGGCGATCCTCGTGTTGCAGCCTGGCTCACGTGTCTAGTCTTCCCCAGGCCTGTGGATATCTCCCTGGGCCCCACGCATGCTCAGAAAGGCAAAGGGGCAGGTGCAGTCATAATTTTGCTTTGCCAAGCCCCATATTGGGCCCCAAAATTAATTGTTTATTTAGCCAGGAATCAAACCTGAACCAAACCTGAATATTTCCATGGGAAGTGTTTCCTTGAAACAAGACAGAAGCATCAAAGTGGCCTTCATCCTGAGCCTCAGTGGAAGGGAAATGGTATTTGGTCCAGAACGAGCTTTTCCCCTGATTAGATAGATATGTGATTGGGGTAAGCAGCTTCCATAGCCATGCCTCAGTTTCCTCCTCTCTAAAGTAAGGGGCTGCATGACATGATGTCTAAGGTCACTCTCAACTTCCCGGGTAACAGCAGAGCTGGGGGAAGAGACCATGGCCGTGGCTGCCCCCTGCCCCGGCATCAGCAGAGCCAGGGAATAGGAAGATGGGAGAAAGAGGGCAATGGAGGAAGGGGCCCCAGTGGGTCATAGAATCTGACTACTTGAGGAGAGATTTGGAATGACCCGCTTCTGTGGGGCCTGTCTCAGCCGCAGGCATGAAGAGGAAGATGGTTTTGCCCATTTTCCTCCGTAGTGGGAGTCAGGGGTCAGCTGACTGTCGAGACATCTGGTGCAGGACTCGAACTGCTGATCATGCATTGCCATTCCCTGGATGCCTCCGCTGTGCCCCCTTGTCCCTTTCATGCCCCCTCTTGGCCACATCAATCTTCCCTGGACTGAGCACCTGTTCAGTTAATGTTTCTTAGCCGCTCTGGGAGAAAACGGCAATGACAGAAGTTGAAACCGGTGGTTGGAAAGAGGCTTTGGGCCTATCTGATGCTCTCAATCATTTATGTGCCGACCCCTGCTGCCCTGGGAACTGAGATGGGCAGTGTCTCCAGGTCCCTGTGGTGTTGGTTTTCAAGGGCCAGAGTTTCAGAGAGAGTGTGGAAGGCTGGACCTTGGGGAGGAGAGCGGCAGGGCGCAGGGGGCGAGGAGCCACGCCTGAGAGGCCAGCTCTGGAGCAGCTGTCCGCAAGGGCCCCGAGGGAGCGCAGAGAGCTGCACGCAGGCTTCTGGCCCAACAGCCGCGCCCATCCAGCTCCTCAGGGGCAGCACAGGGGCAGCCGCCCGCCGTGTGGAACTGTGAGCATGGCTTTGTTCCAATAAAACTTAATTATAGATCCTTAAATTTGAATTTCACATAATTTTTATGTCATGGAATATTATTAATATTTTGAGTTTTTTCCAACCATTTGAAAATAGAAACACATTCTTAGCTCAAGGGCCAGGTTGGCCCCCCAGCCATCGTTTGCTGACAGCTGCTTGAGAGGCAGCAGGGCAACCTGCAGGGAGCAGGGCCGGGGACAGGCGCCCCCAAGAGCCCTTCACTTCACTCACAGTGGCCCTGCTGAACCCTCGCTCAGCAGGCTGGACAATATATGATAGCAAACAGCTCTTCAGAGGCTTATATTTTATAAAGCATGTGTTTCCTTAGCTTCTTTACCCATTTTCTCAGCTATTGCATTGTTTCATAATATCATATGTAGTTTTACAAATCCCTTGAAAAATGAAGCAGAGTACAAATGAAATGAAACCCAGTCTTCATGAATAGGGTTGGGACCTACTAGGAACTCCTCCAGAGCCCCAAGCTCCCACTGAGCCTGGCCACCCTCGCCTCTGTCACAGCCCGTGCCTCCCCTCGTCCTCCCCACCACCGTGAGGCCCCAGGAATGGTGGGGGAGGCTTCCTCTGATCAGCTCTGGGGGTGATGTCAGTCTCCTTTTATGCCAGGGGAAAACTGAGGCTCTGCGAGGGAAGCCAAGCTGGGAGAGAGTGGGTACTGATGGAAACCGAGAATTTGTTGGGCAAAGTGGGTGAGCCCAGGAAGAGGGGCCTTCTCTGGAGAGTGTTTCAGGCTGCAAGTCTGGGTGTAGGGTAGTCATCCTCCTGCCCAGGCCCCTGCCCTAACTCATTCTGTTCATGCTCAGGGCAGAGGTCACTCACCCGGCCGCACTGGCCAAGTCACACAGAATTAGGACCAGTGCTCTAGGACCTTGAACACTCAGGCCAGAGACACCAACGGTAGGAGTAGTGCCCAGTAGGTGTACAGGTTGGGCCATCCATCCATCTGTTTTTGCTTTTTTTAAAAGTTCATTCATTCATTCAATAACTCTGTAGCAGTTATCTATTGCTCCATAAGAAATTACCCCAAAGTATAATAACTTAAAACCACAAGACTTACTATCCCCCAGTTCCTGGGGGTGACGAGTCTGGGTGTGGCTTAGCTGGGCAAGTGGCTCAGGGTCTCACGGGCCTGCAATTAAGGTACCAGCCAGCTCTGCTCATTCAAGCTATTTCAAAGCTCAACTACAGGAGGCTCAGCTTTCAAACTCACCCCCACGGTTGCTGGCAGGTTCTGGCTGCCAGGTGGGCTTCTCCAGAAGACAGCTCTCACCTGGCAGCCAGCTTCACTGCAGCAAGAACAGAGAGGGGAGAGGAAGAGAGAAGTCAGTCTTGGGAGCCTAACCTCTGAAGTAACCTCCAAAGTGGTCAATTTTACCGTATTCCATTCACCAGAAGCAAGTTACCAGGTCCAGCCCACCCTCAAAGGGATGGGCTCACACAAGGGCATGACTAGAAGAGGCTGGGCCATTGTGAACCATTTCAGAACCATCCCACCACACATCCCTACTCATCCACTCGAACTTGCCCACCAAACACACCCAAGTGCCACCAAGGGCCACAAGTCTGGTCCAATCCCAGCTCAGTCCTTCTCCCCCCACTCACCCCTTCCATCTCTAGACTTCAAAGTTTGGAGGGGGCCAGCAGCATCTGGGAGCTTGATAGACATGTATGTTCCCAGGCCCCACCCCAGACCAAAGGAACGAGAAACTCTGGGGGGCCCGCCCCCCGAGCTGCAGCACACCGCACCCCCCCGGCAGTTCTAGCGTGTGACAGGGTCTGAGCGCCACCACCTTGGCCTTAGTGCCGGTTGCTGCTGATCCGGATGCACTTTCTGGACTGGGTGAATGTGCCAGAAGGTCCAGGCCACTTCTTGTCCCTGCCAAGGTCCATCCAGGGCCTGGGGACAGAAGCCTGCCACTGCTCCAGATACCGTGATTCTTTCCAGACAGAGTCCTTCCCAGCCCTTCTTCACGGAGACCCTCCTACCCAGCCATCGCAGGAGTGCAGAAGCCCAGAGCGCCCCCTGCGGCCTGACTGAGGGAGGGGTGCTTGGCTCTCTCCTCATCTTGGCCATGCACCAGGCCTGAGGGTTAGATATTTGGCCCCTCTGGGCCTCTCTTCCAGCTCAGGACTCATTCTTATATAAAGGACTACAAACGACAGGATTACAGAGGTCTATGTGGAGCCTAGAAAGAGAGCAGACAGCAAGGGCCACGAGAGTGACAGCAGCTCTGTGGATCTTTGTGATGTTTACAGAGGACCTGTCACCCTGGCTTTAGGGACTCTGAGCCCTGTCATTTGCCTGTGGGTAGCACCCACACATGGGACCTTCAAAATGGACCTTAAAGACCAATCAGACACCCCATTGTGGTGTCTCTCTCTAAGGGCTGAAATCTCTCAGAAGGCATAGCAACCCCCCACCCCACCCCACCCCACCGCAGCCCGCAGAGCCAGTGCCTACAGGACCCTCAGACCACGGCTGCCCTCACAGGGCCTCTGACATGCCTGTCCTGGGCCTGAGCTGTTTGCTCTGGACCCCCTCCTCCTCCCCTACCTCCCCAAGCCCTTTGTGGTCCCCCCACACGTGCAATAGTAGGCTGTCTTTGCGTCACTCCCTGGTGCCGTAGGTTCAGTGGCTGCAGTGGGTGCAGGAGAAACCTCAACCTCGCTGCCATGCATGTGCTCCTGAACTTGCCCCTCCAGCCCCCAACTCCTCACTGCCTGTCTCAGCATGTCTCTGGGCTCCCCCATACGCTCCCTTCCTGGGCCAGGGCACCCTCATTTGGGCAGCTTGAGTGGGGTGCCTCCCAAGTGAAATCCAGCAGATCACCTGAACCCCAGACAGCCGATGGCAGCAGAAGCTTTCCAGGAGTGCAGAGCTGGTGCCCAGCCTCCACATTCTTCCCAGCCCCAGCGGGCCGAAGGGCCAGAGGTGCTTGCTGAGAGACTGTGCAGCTCAGGGGACGCAGGTGAGGTGGTACAGCAGGAAGGGAAGAAAGGACTGGCCCCCACTAGGAACTGTGCACACTGATTTCACTCTGGTGATTCATTTAATCCTCACACACATTAAGAGTGTTTTCCCATTTTTTAGAGAAGAAACTGAGACTGTCCCTAGGTAAGGAGGCCATATGACTTTGATCCATTCCAACACCAGAGGGAATCTTGGCCTTACTTCACCCTCTGGCCCCACTTCTCCTTGGGGCCAGCACGCTCACTCAGGCATGCCAATTAGCCCGTGCCCGGGCCCTCACCAGTTCTATATTCTTGGTGCCACATGCCCCATCTGCTCCCTGCTCAAGGCTACTGGGAGGCACCTCACAGGGCCTCACCTCTTTCCGGCCTCCTTACAGACTGGAAACTCTGGAGCCCCAGAGCCCTATGCTCGGCCGCCCCATGGACCGTTGTGTACGTGGGGGTCGCCCTCATTGAGAGCGGAGCCCTGCCCTGGGGTGAGCGGAGCTGGTGGGCAGGCAGAGCTGCCAGAGCCCCTTAGTGCTGTGGCTGTGCAGAGGCTCTAGCCCCCCGCCGTGCTGTGCTGGGTGCCCCTCTGCGTTCAGTTTGGGGGGCCTAAACTGACAGGGTACCCAAGGTTGAGTGGTTGGACCTTGGCTTTGTAGATTCAGGAAATTTGGTCAGTTTACCTATTTGAGGCACTGATTCACTCTGAGTTCAGATGAAACTGTATCAGCTAGGAACTGTGTTCTACTGCCTTGAGTAGAATCCCTACTTTAGTGACTTGAGCAAATTAAAGGCTTACTCCCTCATATAAGGAATGGATGGAGACAGCCCAGGCCGGGTATGGTGGCCAGGCATCCCCACGCTCCAGATCACAACACGGGTGCAGGGGCTCCTGCCTTCTAGTCCACTCTCCAGACAAGAAGGAGAGGGGGGCAGTGCCCCTCCTGCAGAGGCTTCTCCTTTTCAACAGATTCCTGGAAGGCCTACCACGACTTGTTCACATTTTGCTGGCCAGCCCCAACCACAGGGGAGGCTGGGAAACGTAGTCTTTAAGTGGAGTATATTGTTATAGTAACTAAAGCAGGATCTCCCTACCAAAGACAGGAAGGATGGATATTCTCTGCCAGCATGACACATCCTTGAAGTCAAGTTGTCTATTTACAGAGGAGGATACATTTCTTCCACTGTCTAGAAGCTTGTCTTACTCTCACGGACTTCTCAGAATCAAGTGTCTAAACAACAAGGGTTTGGTGAATAAGCCTCGAATTAGGGAGGAGAAGGGTACAGCCTCATCAGGAGCCTCAATTCCACCTCACTGCACTTCCCCAGGGAGCCGAACACTCACACCGCTCGCACACCCCCTTGTCTGTTCGCTCGCGCCGTCCTTCAGCAGACACGCACGTGTGACACTGTGGGCAAGACCCTGGGTGGTCTGCGGGGAGCAGAGGCAGGTTTCTGCCCGCTGGGACGCCGCCGTCCGGTGAGCAGGAACACGCACGTAGTGACTGGAAGAGCAGAAAGCGAGCCCCAGCTGACAGGGAGCCCTCTGCCCACAGGAGCCTCAGACGGCTACAGGGCTGCGCCTGAGGAACAGGCGGGGTTGGATGCCCCTCAGCTTCCTGCTTGTCATTCTGTCCCTGGAATGCCCTTGACTCCTCCACGCTGTCCCCCTGCCGTCCCCTGCCCTCTTCGAAGAAGCCTCTCAGGCCTCCCAGTCAGAGCACAAGGCCCTCCCAGGCACCCAGAGCAGAGCTCAGACAAGTCTGGGCTCCCGTTTTTTCTCCCCTGGGCTTCTGTGGCCAGCCTGTCAGTGTCATGGTGCAGGGAAATGAGACGTTCGTTCTGACTGGAAAGGCGAGAAAAGAGGCTCCTGAGAGCAGGATGTGAAGGAACCCTCCTTGCTGTGCGGACTGGGGAACAGTAATCGAGGCAGGCAGGAGAGCCAAGATCCTGGTGACTCCTTGTCACACTGGCCGCACCTTACCCAGCGCTTGCTGAGGGCCAGCTGCAGGGCATGCATCTTCCTCAAGCTTCCTGACCTCCTGCCCGTGGTCACACGGCAGGCAGTGGGCGCGCGGGAGGGCGGCGGGTGCAGTGGGCCTCCGGGCTGCACGGCAGGCGGGCAGGCGGGTGAGCTGACCTCCTTGGCTTGGAGGACGCCCAGCAGCAACACTCACCTAGTGTTGGTGGATTGGCTAGTGAAGGAGGGATGGACGGCAGGGTGTCCTGTTTCAGGAAACAAAGATGACAGCGACCAAACCCCAGCTGTGTGTGTGAGGACACTGTCTAGCAGCAGTGACTGGGGCCTGGGGGAAACTGCGGAAAGGACAAGGGTTCAGGCTAAGTCGCTGTTCCTGGAGGTGGGGTGGTGAATGACAGATCCACAGCAAACATGGATTAACTGGAAATGGGGGGAGGGCGGGAGGGAGGGGGAGTCAAAGGCAGCTGAGTTCTCAAACCTCTTTCAGCTGGGTGACAAGGATGGCAGTGCGAGAGACAGAGCACCGCTTTTGAGTGTTTTGTGGCCAAGACACACACACACACACACACACACACACACACACACGCAAATATGTAATCAAGTTCCACAAAACCCTGTCTAACCTTGCTGCAAGTGATTCACACTGATTTGTTCAAAGGAATTGTGTAGCTTTAAAAAAACCTGGTAGCAACCCCTAGCTTGATTTCACAGCCAACTAATGGATTACAACTTAGAGTTTTCAAAGCACTGAGATGAGAATACGGCAGAAGAGCAGATCAGAAGACTGGCTTTGATTGTGTCGAAGGGCACCTACAGGGAAAACCCAGTGGCAGCTAAAGTCTGGAGCTCCGAAATGAGCCGTGGGCCCAGGGGGAGGTGTAGCATCCTCACCCTGCTGTCTCCCTCTCTCCCTCTCTCTCCAGACAGGAAGATTTCTGGGGGAGGTGGATGGTGCTCTCATGACCCAGCTGCTCAGCATGGGGGTGTTCAGCCAGTAAGTGGGATGCCCTTCTCCCCTGCCTGCACACTCACAGAAAAGGCGGGATCTGAGGCTACATCGTCCAGACAGGTCTCAGGGTCTTGACCTCCAAAACCCACAGTGAGAGCCCTAGAGTTCTCCAAAAACAACCTTTCTGAAGCCAGAGACTTGACACGCAGTGGGGAAGGGCATGAGGACATGTGGGCCCTTAGAAGGGAAGCCAAAGTTGCTATTCGTTCCCTTTAAAGCAAAGAGCAGAAACGGTACTTTGGGCGTGTGCTCCCTTCTGATCGCCTGACCTAACTCACCAACTGTCGGGAATCTGGGTGAATGAAACCCTCTGCAGGCTCCCCTGGGCAGGGCAGGGCAGGGCAGGGGCAGGGGCAGGGTAGGGGCAGGGCTAGGGCAGGGCTGGGGCTGGGGTTGGGGCAGGGGCTGGGGCAGGGCAGGGGCAGGGGCAGGGTAGGGGCAGGGCTAGGGCAGGGCTGGGGCTGGGGCTGGGGCAGGGCTGGGGCAGGGGCAGGGTAGGGGCAGGGCTGGGGCAGGGCTGGGGCAGGGGCAGGGTAGGGGCAGGGCTGGGGCAGGGCAGGGGCTGGGGCTGGGGCAGGGGCAGGGGCAGGGGCAGGGGCTGGGGCAAGGCAGGGGCAGGGCTGGCCTTGCCACATGCTGTCTCTGGTTTTCAGAGTGACCTTGTACGACTATCAGGCCATGTGCAAACCCCCGAATCACCACCACAGCGCCGCCCGGCCCCTGGTCAGCGTGAGTGTCACCCCAGACCTCCCCTCTGCCAGACCACAAGCCCTGTACCTCCCCTAAAACGAGGCCACCTGGTTCCTGATCTCACGCAGCCTCAGGCATCTGGCCCGGAGCCCCACTTCCAACCCTGACCAAAAAGTCCTCTCCCACTTCTGCCTACTGCCACCCCAGCCCTGCGGGGCTTGCCTATGGGACCTCTGGCACAGCAATGTGGTCACATAGATCATCAAGGACCCTAGGCCCCGCCTGGCCTTCTGGATGAGCTTGTCTAACCCAGGATGCCTGCCCTCCGATAGGACTTTCTCAGATACCTCAGCTTTCCAAGCCCCCTGGCTGGAAGGGTGGGGGCGGGCAGTGCAGCAGGAGGGGTGTCCCAGGGTTGTGGTCTCCGATGGAGCACCCTGGCCCTGGCCCTGGCCTGGGGTGAACGGTTTGTCCCCCTCCCTCCCAGCCCATCTCTGCCCTCCTGACCGCGACCAGATGGCTGGTGAATGAGCTCCTGCTGTGAGTAGGGGGTTGAGGTGGGGGGGGGGGGCTGGGGAAGGACTGGGGGACTTCACGCAGGTGTGTCCCCTGAGGGGGCCCAGAGGAGGGGGGCAAGGTCTGGGAAGAACCCGTCCTGTGTGTATGGGCCTCCTCCTTCCTGCTGCTGCCTGGGGCATCTCTCTGCTCGGCCCTGAACCCTCAGGCAGGAAAGAGAATGTTCTGGAGAACAGGGCTGGGCCGGGGGACCAGCCGGGAGCTCTGAGACTCAGTGCTGTGTCTGACAGGTTTCTGCTGCAGTGGAGCACCTGGGGCTCCTGGCGTGCGCCCAGTGGGGCCGAGGGTGAGTGCGAGGGACTGCACAACCACGTGCGTGACACCAATGCCATTTCATTCAGCCGGGCGGGTGACAGGCAGGGTGGGCAGTCTGCACAGTTTATTGCTCAAAGCTCATCCTGCTTGGCCTTCTCTCACCACCTCCCCCTCACTCCTGGCCCCCCTCACCTCTCTGTGACACCACACCATCTCGGGACACCACTGCTCCATGGGACATCATTCATTCCATGTGACATCACCACCTTGTGACATCCTGACCTCGTGTGACATTATGCCCACCCCGTGCGGGGCCCCGCGCTGTGGGCAGCCAAGGCTGTCTTCCATCACAGTAAGTAGCACCTGCTGCAGAGCCGGGGTTGGGGGAGCAGCGTGGAGCTGCAAAGGCCCATCCTCAGCTCTCTGTTAAAGGGGCGCACTCACGAGGGCTGAGCTGTCTTCGTCCCAGACACCCCAGCTCAGGGGACCGTGCCCCGGTAAAGCCCCTTCCTCAGGGGCAGGACTTCGGCCATGTCCTCGAGTGAGGACGTTTGCAGTTCTGAGAAGAGAAGGTGATGCGGTCCAGCAGCCATGACCACACACAGGCGAGAGACCGCCAGGCCAGCCTGCGGCACGTGAACTGTGGTGCCTCCAGCTCAGGTGTCCCCCGAGCCCTGAGCTCAGGGTTGAGGGCATGACAGGCAGAGAACTCGTCTGGTCACAGGCACACTTCTGGGGTAACACGTCTCCAGGGACCTTCTCTCTGAGGACAGTGTCCCCCGAAGTCCTGACCACAAATCTGAGAAATATCCTCACTGTCAGCCGCTGTGACGCTGGCCCACATTCCCGGGGAGTGAGGCCCCCTGATCTTTAACTGCAGAGGGAGGTCCATCATTTCCACTGGCTGGGTGGCCAGGGGGGCCCCCCCCCAGCACCACACAGGGCCCGTCACCGCAGCCTGCTGTGCTCAGCCCCTCTGGCTCACACAGCCTTTTCTGTTGTGTCCTGCACCTTCTCCACGGCTGGTGCACTCCCAACCCCTTCTCGTCCACAGAGTTTGGCTCCCTGATGAGAAAATAATTTCCACCTCCACCCCCTCTCTGGCTGTGCTCCCCTCTCTCTCTCTGGCCTGCGGGAGGCGAACTCTGACCCTCAGCTCATGTGGCCGGTGCGGGCCATGCTTCATGCTTCCAGACTCCTTTTGGAAATCACACCCACAGTCTCCACAGGGCCGCTCTGGGGACACTTCACAGTCACTCGGTGTCTGTGACAGGAACCATGACCCAGGTGTCACCACCCATTTAGAAGCAGGCCCCTCCTCCCCTCTGCATGGGAATACGGGGTCCGGGACAGCAGCTGCGTCTTAAAAAGCTGAGAATGACCTCCCTCGCTCCACTGCTTCAGAGTCGCTCATCTTCAGGGCGGCCGTTCCTGCTCCTGGCCGGCCTGCCCAGCAGGCCTGGGTCTGCCCCTCGCCCACGCCCTGGGTGAGCGCGCACTCAGCCTGCAGCCGGAGGGCCTGGACTGAGCACGGCTGGCGGCCCTGGGGAAGCCACCCGCCTGTTGCTGTTGGCATGGTTACTCGTGTTGTCACTGAGATGACTTGGCCACGAGGTGGCTCAGCTGACAGGGTAGACGGGCCAGACCAAGCGGCTGGGTCGAGGCCAGTGTAACTGGCCCCAGAAGGAGGGGAGCCAGCCCCGCAGCTTTAGCCCAAGCGCCGCTCCCCCACCCAGGGTGCCTGGAGAGTGCAACTGCCCAGCAGTCACCCTTGAAGGTCAGTGTGACCACGGCTGAAACCCAGCCACGGGGCAGACCCCGGCTGTGGTCCTTCCTCTTGGATGGGCCTTCTCGCCCTGCAGCCTGGCCTCTCCTCTTGCCATCAAAGTCTGGTAGCGTGTCTCTGGGGTTAGAGACTTATAGCTCCCCGCTGACCTTTGTGTGACCCTGCAAAAGGTCATGTGTACAAAATGGGGGGATACTGCTGGCCCTGCCTTTTTACGGGGAGACTCTGAGAACAAAAGGACAGGTGTGGACAGTGCCTTGAAGAAATAGTAATGGTGTATTAAAAAATGGCCCTGCTACTTTGAACAAAAATAGTCATTCAGCCCATGAGCTGGCCTTGTTTGCTTCTCGCTCACCGCGGGAGCAATCGTGGGCCCTCCAGGGCAGGCTGCCAGGACCCTTCTTGGTGCTGAGTTCTTTCCGACTGAATGCAAGTGGACCACACAGACGTGCCCTCTGGGGCCCCAACTGCTCTCAGCTGTCCCCTAGCTCCTGCAGCCGCACACGGGCTCTCACTGCTCTGCTCAGGGACCAGCAGCAGGGGCGGGAGGGCAGGCCCAGGGCTCATCCGGGACGTGCCCTTGCAGGGCACCTTAGCTGGGCCTGAGGACATGCCACCTGTCCATACCGAACTGGAGGGGTGATGGGACGAAGAAGCTGACGTCTCCCCCAAGCCATACCTTGGCGTTCTGGTCACCTCTGCTTTCCTCTCAGACCCTGCACATCAATGCTGAGAGGAACCTTCCAGAAAGTGCACTCCCATGCCCCCAACTGCAGCTTACAGTGGGGATACAGGCTCCCACAGGCAGTGAGAGGCTTTCCCAAGGTCATGAGGCTGGTGTGTCAACCACACACAACTGACTCCCAAGGCACCCTGATGCCCAGTCTACTGCCCTTCCCACTGTGGTCCACTCCCCTCCCTTGATTCTGTTCCTTTTCCTGCCTTGTTTCTCTCCCACCCCACCTCTGCTTTACGTGTCCTGAGAGCCTTCTAACAAGGGAGCCATCTGCAAAGGGACTGCGGGCATTTCGCTGTGCGGTGGCCGCAGCAGCCCTGGAGGCGCTGAGCCTGAGATCCCCGCAGGCATGACTGCTCAGGCCCTTCAGGTTCCACGACACCCTTTCTCCCATCTGTACCTGTCTCCCCACAGCCCACAAGCACCAGAGGCAGGACGCGCTGCAGCCCTGCGACACTGAGTACCCCGTGTTCGTGCACCAGAGGGCCATCCAGGAGGCCAACGGGATCATCGAGTGCGGGGCCTGCCAAAAGTAAGACCTGAGGCTGCTCTCCCTGTCCCCAGCCTCGGGGCCAGGCTCGGTCACTCTCAGGGGGTTGTCTCCACGTGGGGAGAAAGGAGGGGGTGCTCTAAGGGAAAGGTCACGCTCCAGGGGTCTTTATTTCCTTCTCTCTCGGTGAAGGAAACACAGGCCAAGGCCAAGGGTATGACGGAGGCAGCCAGTGGGGGGCAGCGGACAGCCCGCTATGCTATGTCAGGGGGGCTGTGGAACATGATCCCAAGGCCAAATCCTTGTCAGCAAGTCCATCCCTGCTCCAGTCCCCAAAGCCACCCCAGACAGAAAAAATGATCCCATAATTCAGTGTCTGTCTCACTCACACCTGTGCAGCAGCTCAGTCAGGGCCATGCAAGCTGAACTCCACCGGCGAGACTGGATGGATGGCAAGGGTAGACATGAGGAAAGAAAGAAGTCAGCTCTCCCTTAGAAATCTGTCTGTGCAGAGAACAGGAAAGCTTAAGGCTGTTCTCAGGTGCGGGTGGGCTGGCGCCTCCGCTCCTAGGCCCTCTGCCTGCGTGTGGGCCCGGCCTGAGCTCAGGCCGTCCCCCGTGCAGAGGCCACTAGATCCAAGCGGCTCTGCCCAGCCCTGGCCCAGGGAGGCAGGGAGGCCTGAATGAAAGTTCTCTCCTGCTGACTCTCTCCTCTGACCTCAGGGACCCCTCCCCTGGGAAGTTCTGTCCTGGCCCAGCAGGCTGTGGCCTCCTCCAGGGTGTCATCCTGGCCAGCCTTGCCATCTGCCAAGGGCTTCCCAGGACACCCCTGACAGACCCCAGACTTCAAGCAAACCACTTCATAGTGCAGCAGTTCAGGTTTTGGCATCTCTCACTCTTGCATAATGTCAGGCAGGGTTTTAACTGTGCCACAGAGGACTTCTTGGGACTATTATTTGTGCACTTAGCTCAAAGGCTTGTAAGAATGAAGTAAATGGTATGACGCAAAGACTTTACAGTAGACAAACTTGAATTTACAGGTGGCTCTGCTACCTCCTAGCTGTGTAACCTTGGGCAAGTTGCTTGGCCAATTCTAGCCTGTTTTCTCATCCACAAAATGGGAATAATAACCACTTCATATAGTATGGTGAAGGTTATGTACATGTATACATATGTGTGTGTGCATGAAGCCATCCATCCCAGAGGAAACACTCAGTACAGGGCAGCTGTTATTATATAGCACAGCAGGCCTTTCTGCATAACAGTTTTTCCACAACCCTTTACCCCCTCCCTCATCACATAATTCCTGCGCAGTATGCAGGGGTACTGTGCCACCTAGTGGCCAAAACTAGGCATGGCACCTTCCCCCTGTGGCCTGTCCCCACCACATTCACCCAAAGCAAGGATAGCCACACAATGCGTATCTGCTTGGCACAGTCCTGATTTATCCGTGTTGTCCTTGCATATATTAATAACAGCTCCTTTCACTCTCAAAAATGTTTGTTTGGACTTCCTCACCTTCTCCAATCTGCTGGGAAAGGAACATTTACAAAGGCTTGTGGGTTAAATAAGCCAATAGGACTGAGTCAGTTGCTCAGGACTGTTCCTTTAGCTGCCACTGACCTAACCTCCTCGTGGTTCCACTTCTTCCCCTGCAACCCCAACTCCTCACCAGAAGTCTCCAGAAGGGGTGCTTTTTCCCCCTTGAAGCCCAATGGCAAGCCCACCATGGGGAAGTTCCCTGGCCCGACCTCTCTCTGTGCTGCAGGGTGTTTGTGATGCATCAGATCCCCAACAGCAACCTTCTCCTTCTGGTGACAGACCCCACCTGTGACTGTAGCATCTTCCCACAAGTCCTACAGGAGGCTACAGAAGTCAAATATATCCTTCCAATTTCCCAGGGAGTGAGGGGTAAGGGAGGCTGGCGGTGCAGAAGACCTTGAGGGTCTCAGATTTTGAAGCCCACCTACATCCTGCCCTCCCCCAGGGCATCATTATTTGTCCTCCAACCCCTCCCTCAGGCCCCTGGGTGTTGCTTCCTGTCCCTGGAAGCCACTTGCAAGGCGGTTGGTCCTACCTCGGGTAGGCTCTTCCAGAACTTAGTCTCTAGAATCAGCTCCTATCATGAGGTATTTGCCTTAACAGCAAATTCTGCACATAATGCCTCTATCAAGTGTGACAGGATGCGCTCCCAGAAGCTCCGCTGGCGACCAGACTCCTGCCATGCCTTCCATCCAGAGGTGGGCGCTGCAGGGCGGTGAGGAGTGGGGCTCCATCTTCCTCCCCAGTCTTCAGCTCTGTGGCTGTGCCTGTGCACCTGGGCACAGAAATACAACTGAACATGCACACTTTCATACATGTGCCTCAAATGCTAAGTGGTCAACCAGGAGCCAAGGGGGCTGATACAAACACCGCACAGTCCCCAGGGTTTGGGCTCTCAGTGAACCAACATACAGCTTCCCCATTCTGTCCTCATTGCCGCTGCACTTAGCTCCAAATGACCTCAGCGAACAGGAGGAAACCATTATGTGCAAAACACTAATGGTGACCGACATTTACTGAGCATCCCCCAGTGGCGAGCCCTGAGCTGGGAGCTTCACACACAGTGCCATCTTTGATGGATGCGGCTGCCACAAAGAACCCACAGCTCAGGTGCTCCCAGAGTCAATGGCTTCTCTGAGTCATTCTAAGAGGATGACCCCACAGCCACTCTAAGACTAGGGGCGAACAGAGAAGTCTTGAGCCCAGCTCTGGGGCTGAGTGTACAGCCCTACTTTCCCTTAAAAGGCAGGAGTCTAAGGAAAGTGGCAGTGCTTCCTTCACTGCCCGAAATTTTCCTCTTTCCCAGGGTTTGGGCCGTGTTAGTCCCAGACACCCCCGCCCTACTCCTTGCCTCCTCTGGCTGCATTGGCTTCTTCACCCTGAATGCCACCCTTTCCTCTCTGCTCTGGGTTCACAGGAGAACGCCCAGGACTGTGGCGGTGCCTCAGAAACCTCAGCCTCTCACCCCTTGCTCCTGCTGCCTCTGTGCGCCTGGCTGCTGCCACCCCAGCTGCTGCGGTGACACTGATTCTGTCTGACCTCTGTTTTGACAAGGTGATCTTTCCAGAGACATTTTATAGTGTCAGCAACTAATGTGGGAGCCAGCTCACTACAACTGGGCTATCACACAGGTCATCTCCCCTCAACCTTGAGCGAATGGTCTCTGCCTCCTGAAATTGCTGGATGCAACCAGAAACCCCTTCCCAAAAACTAGGGTGCCTGGAACCAGCCCACGCATCTCGATGGACATTGTCTCAGCCTTCCCACCTCCTCTTAAGGAGCCCAGCATGAGCTCAACTAGGACCAAGACAAAACGATTTAGTACCATTTATTCTCCAGAAGTCCAGACCCAGCCAAAGAAATAGTCAGCTGCTTCTCATGAACCTGTTTGCTCTTTAGTAGAACCCAAGGACTTAAAGGTACTGAGAAAGAGGAGCAGAATGTGACCAACAATACCAACAGCTGGAATGAGACAAAGGCAAGAACAAGCCCCCACCTAAAACATACCTGCCTCAACATGCGATGCATGGTGGGGGTAGTTCAGTTTCTTTCCTTCTGCTGCTCAAAAAAGTTCTAATTCTGTATGTGTGCATGCACAAGCACACACGCGCACACACGAAAGAGAGAGAGGGAGAGAAAGCAGGGAAGTGAATAGTAATGGGACACAACATGGCAGCAGATGTATGTTTGCAAACTATTGCTATTAATAAACTTCTAGACTGCTGGTCAAGATGGAGGCATAGATAGACAAATCTATAGGTCTGCCTCCTCACACAACCATAAGAAGAATTACAACTAACCCAAAACAAAAGACACTCAGAACTGCCAGAAAATCAAACTGTATGGAAGTCCAATGACCAGGGATTTAAAGAAGCCACATTCATCCAGGCAGGTAGGAGGGGCAGAGCCAGGGAGCTGGGGCAGAGAGGATGTGGTGTGGCATTGAGAGGTGGCACCAGAACGAACTGTCCCACATTCACATGTGGTGGGTAAAAATTGGGAAGGATAGCTTGGGCACAAGCAATCCCAGCTCCAGGCCAGACCATACAGCCCAAGGTTCCAGCACCAGGGAAAAAAAGCCTCACAACTTCTGGCTATAAAAACCAGTGGGGCTTGGGGCAGCAGAATAAACTGCCAGTCTCTTAGGAGAGTCTAGTTAAAGGACCTACATGATTCTACAACATACACAAACCCACCCACTCTGGGAATCACCACTGGGCAGCAGCTACAAGGGTGCCAATAGCATACAGGAAGCGGGGGAAGTCACTGGAAAAGGGACGAATGCTGGGCAAGCCTCCAGAGGCCAGGCAGTGGCATTGTCCCTTCTCTGACCTCTTCTGGCCCCCATAGTGCCATAAAGTGGTAAAGCAGGTTGAATCACCTTTGCAAATACCTAAGGCTCCACCCCTTACAACTTAACTGGTGTGCTAAGACAGGAAGTCAAAGCAGCTCTACCTAATACACAGAAACAAACACAGGGAGGCTGTGAAGCAGGGGAGACAAAGAAATGTGGCCTAAATGAAAAAAAAAGAGAACAAAACCCCAGAAAAAGAACTAAGCAAAACAGAGATAGCCAACCAATCACATTCAGAGTTAAAAACAATGGTGATCAGGATGTTCAGAGAATTCACTGAGTTTGGCAAACACATAAGGGGAGAAATGGAGGCTACATTAAGTGAAATAAAGAAAATTCTACAGAAAACCAACAGTAAAGGGAAGGAAGCCGGGATTCAAACCAACAATTTAGAACATAAGAAATAAATACACATTCAGAGACTTCCGGCCAAGATGGAGGCATAAGTAGACACACTGTTCCTCCTCACACAGCCAAGATAGGGACACCTACAATTTAGAAATAGAGTAACAACCAGAACTGGCAGAAAATTGAACTGTATGGAAGTTGGACAACCAAGGAGTTCAAATAGACCCGTTCATCCAGACCGGTAGGAGGGGAGGAGTCGGGAAGCCCGGAGGAGAGGGGTTCCGAAGCACAAAGAGTGTTGGGACCGGGCGCATAAGACCACAGCAGGCAGACCCTGGGCACACAAGCAGCAGCTGGCAAACCCCGGCTGAGGGGTGGCAACCAGCAAACCCAGTGAGGTGGCAATTGTGAAGCAAGGCACTGTGTGCAACCCAGTACCCCAGCACTGGGAAATAGAGCCTTGAGGCACTGATTGAAAACACCTGTGGGGGTTGAGATGCAGGAAGAGACTCCCAGCCTCACAGGAAAGGTCCTTGGAAAGTCCCATGGAGTGCACAAGCCCACCTACCCGGGAATCAGCACCAGAAAGGTCCAGTTTGCTGGGGGTAAGTGGCAGAAGGGACTGAAATTGGCAGAGAGGAAGGCAAGCGCCATTGTTCCCTCTCAAACCCCGTCCCCACGTACAACATCACAACCCAGGGACTTGGGTGCCCCACCCTGGTGAACACCTAAGGCTCCACCCCTCATACATAACAGGCACGACCAGACAAAAAAATAAAAGAGATGGCTCAAACAGAAGAACAAATGGAAGCCCCAGAACCCATCCTTTTAAGTGTCTGAGAGATAGCCAACATATCAGATGCACAGTTCAAAACACTGGTGATCAGGATGCTCACAGTATTGGTTGATTTTGGTCGCAAACTAGATGAAAAAATGAAGGCTACAAGAAGTGGAATGAAAAAATACACAGGGAACCCATAGTGATGGAAAGGAAGCTGGGTTTCAAATCAATGGAGTGAACCAGAAGGAAGAAAGAAACAACCACACAGGAAAGAATGGAGAAATAAGAATTCAAAAAAATAAGGAGAGGCTTAGGAACCTCCAGGACATCTTTAAACATTCCAACATCCGAATTATAGGGGTACCAGAAGGAAAAGAGGAAGAGCAACAAGTGGAAAAGTTATCTGAACAAATAATAAAGGAGAACTTCCCCAATCTGGCAAAGGAAATAGACTTCCAGGAAGTCCAGGAAGCTCAGAGAGTCCCAAAGAAGTGGGACCCAAGAAGGAACACACCAAGGCATGTCATAATTACATTAGCCAAGGTAAAAATGAAGGAGAGAATTCTAGAAGCAGCAAGAGATAAGGAGACAGTAACCTACAAAGGAGTGCCCATCAGACTGTCAGCTGATTTCTCAAAAGACACCTTACAGGCAAGAAGGGGCTGGAGAAAAGTATTCCAAGTCATGAAAGGCAAGGACCTACATCCAAGATTACTCTATCCAGCAAAGCTTTCATTTAGAATGGAAGGGCAGATAAAGTGCTTCCCAGATAAGGTCAAGTTAAGGAGTTCATCATCACCAAGCCTTTATTATATGAGATGTTAAAGGGACTTATCTAAGAAAAAGAAGATAAAAAAAACATGTACAGTAAAATGACAGCAAACTCACAATTACTAACAACCACACCTAAAACAAAAACAAAAAGAAACTAAGCAAAGAACTAGAACAGGAGCAGAACCACAGAAGTGGAGAATACATGGAGGGTTCGCAACAGGGGAGGAAGAAGAGAGAGGGGGAAAGGGTATGGAGAATAAGTAGCATACACAGGTAGGCAGAAAATAGACAGGGGGAAGGCAAGAATAGTATGGGAATGTAGAAACTAAAGAACTTATGACACGTGGACATAAACTAAAGGGGGGAATGTGGGTGGGAGGGTGTGCAGGGTGGAGGGGAATGAAGGGGAAAATGGGACAACAGCAATAATATAATTAATAAAATATGTTTAAAAAAAGAAAAAGATCAGCCCTGGCTGGCGTAGCTCAGTGGATTGAGCACGGGCTGGGAACCAAAGTGTCCCAGGTTCGATTCCCAGCCAGGGTACATTCCTGGGTTGCAGGCCATAACCCCCAGCAACCGCACATTGATGTTTCTCTATCTCCCTCCCTTCCCTCTCTAAAAAATAAATAAATAAGTAAAAGATTTAAAAAAAGATTTAAAAAAAAAAGATCAAAACTATGAACAGCAAAATGATGACAAACTCTCAACTATCAACAACTGAATCTAAAAAACAAAAACTAAAACTAAGCAAACAACCAGAACAGGAACAGAATCATAGACATGGAGATCATTCAGAGGGTTATCAGGTGGGATGGGGAAGAGGGAGAATGAGGGAAAAGGTGCAGTGATTAAGCAGCATAAATGGTGGGTACAGAATAGACAGGGGAGGTTAAGAACAGTATAGGAAATGGAGAAGCCAAAGAACTTATATGCACGACCATGGACATGAACTAAAGAGGGCATTGCTGAAAAGAAGGGGGGTGGGTACTAGCAGAGGGGGGCATAGGGGAGAAATTGGGACAACTGTATAGCATAATAAATAAAATATATTTTTAAAAAAACTTCTAAAAACATCTTTGCAAAGCCCTAGCATAAAAGAACTTTCACATCTCTAAGAAATGCTGCCACATTGCAAGGTAATGCAGGTTCAGCAGAGGCAGCAGGCATGGCTGAAGTGGAGCAGATAGGTCCCAGAGAAACAGCAGGCCCTCCCACCAGCATGGGATGGAGTCCCCTGAGGGCTAGCTCCACACTCTCCAGAAGGTCCAGGTCTCATGATGGTCTTTTACTGGCCACTGATCTACAAAAGAGACTCCCTGGCTTTGTTCTTGTGGCCGGAACTTTTAGGGACATCCCAATTTGTCAGGCAGAGTCCACCATTCCAGAAGGAAGCTATATAGTTGGAAACTCACTCTCCACATATACACTCCTCCAGGGGCTTGAGACACTGGAATTTCCTCTTCCCTCTCCCTCAGACCTGGCTCCTAAGAGACAGCAGTCTCCACTGTGAGAGCAACATTAAAAGCAGGTCTGTATAGCAATTCTGGGTGGTGGCCTCAGACCTTTCCTTGTCACCAGCCTCCAGTGAGGAGGGCTAGCCAAGCCCTATCATCGTGGTCAAGGAAAGCACAGAGCCTTGGGGGACCCTTCTTCTCAGCCCTCCACACTTCATAGTACAAGTTTCCCTCCAGTAGTTTGCCCCACTTCTCTCTAGAGTAGGCCAACTCAATAAAAACACATTCATTATGTTTGTAAAATGCTTTATATTATCAATTATAAAATGTTACTTCCACTACCATTTAAAGCTCACAACAAGCCTGTGAGGTAGGCATTAACAGCCTGTTTGCAGCTAAGAAATAGAACCCCAGAGAAGAAGGGGATCCATGCAAGCTCACTCAGCCAGTTTAAGTGGAAGAATAATGGTAGGGATAGCTAAGGTTCACATGAACTGAGTAAAAACAGGTATTTGCTCATTCAATCCTAGCAACACCTCTCTGAAGGAGGTACTACTGGTATTAGCCCTGCATTACAGACCACGAATCAAGCATGGGGTTGAAAATTGGCTCCCAATTATTGGAAGAGTACTGTGAGATTTGAACATGATATTCATAATAATGTGCCTAACTACTATTATCTGCTTTCACGAAGTAGGGGACAGAGAAATTAGTTTGGATGCCAGGCACAGTAGGCAAAGGTCACAATTGTCTGCCTGGTGCAGGCTAGTGAGAAAGCAGCAGGAAGCCCTTTCTCCAGCCCCTTGGCTGTCAGGGCTCAAGAGCTTCCCCACCGTCCTGTCAAAGCCCTAATTGTGACATCCATGGCAGCATGAGCACTTTCTAACCATTGCTCCAGCCCTCCCTGCAAGGGCCATGGCCACCCACCTCTTTCTGCAACATCAATAAATGCCTAGCCTCCCACGCTATTTGACCTCACCTCCACCTCCCAGCCGCCTACTGCTGGTCTCACTCCAGGGCGATCCAGTGCTGTGTTTTGAAGGGCTTATCTCCCCCACCCAAACCAAGAGAACACATTCAGGCAAATCTATCAACTATATTCGCCATGATTTAAGAACCAAGCGGCAGTGCTGCAGCAGATCCCAGCCGCATTTTGTTCATTTAATCCCTGTGCCTCTGTGTGGCCAGAAGTGAGCTGTAAGATCCAGAAATCTCTTTCAGAACCAGCTGAACAAAAGACCATTTTTAATAAACTAGCCTTGCTCTTTACCTGGGCGAACAGAAAATTCTTTTGAATTTTACCTTCCAAGGTCAGAACTATCATCCTCTCGATTTTTAACAAAATCACTCAAGGACAGCAGGTGGCAGCCTGGCTCAAGCTAAACAGCCATCAGCTTGATATCAGAGGAACAAAAGTTCAAACCCAAGTCATTTAATAATGACATCTGGGGTACAGAACCTTGAAACGCCTTTTCTTAATAAGTGTTGCACATCTTTGGCTGACCAAGAACCCAAGGCTGTTGTCAGATCCTTCTTCCTCAGTACAGCGATATATTAATTACTAAATCCACCAAATAATTTTGTATATTTTAATAGAAATGCTGACTTCCGCCCAAGATGGAGGCATAGGTAGACACACTGTGCCTCCTCGCACAACCAAGATAGGGACAACAACAATTTAGAAACAGAATAACCACCAGAATTGACAGAAAACTGAACTGTATGGAAGTCGGACAACAGTAAGTTAAAATAGACACGTTCATCCAGACGGGTAGGAGGGGAGGAGTCAGGCAGCTGGGCATGGGTTGCGTCGCTGAAAGCAGAGACCCTTGGGCGGGTGCGTAAGGCATCAGGGGCACCCAAGACCACAGCGGGAAGATCCTGAGTGCGCAAAAGGCAGCTGGCAGGCCCTGGCCGAGGGATGGCAACCAGAAGACCCAATGAGGCGGTGATTATGAAGCAAGGCACTGAAAGCAACCCAGGATCACAGCGCTGGGAAATAGAGCCCTGGGGCACTGATTGAAAACATCTGTGGGGGTTAAGATGCAGGGAGAGACCCCCAGCCTCACAGGAGAGGTCCTTGGAAAGTCCCATGGGGGGGGGGAAACGCCCACCCACACGGGAATTGGCACCAGAGCGGCCCAGTTTTCTCTGGTGAAGCTGTGGAAGGGACTGAGGTCTGATGGAGAGCGGAGCAAGCACCATTGTTCCCTCTCAGACCCTGCCCCCACATACAGCATCACAACCCAGGGACTTGGGTGCCCCACCCTGGTGAACGCCTAAGACTCCGCCCCTCATATGTAACAGGCGTGACCAGACTGAAGAAAAAAAAAGATGGCTCAAACAGAATTTAAAGCTCCGCAACCAGTACTTCTAAGTGACCAAGACATAGCCAACCTATCAGATGCAAAGTTCAGAGCACTGGTGATCAAGATGCTCACAGAATTGGTTGATTTTGGCCACAAATTACATGAACAAATGCAGGCTATGCTAAGTGAAATGAAGGAAAACGCACAGGGAACCAATAGTGATGGGAAGGAAACTGGGACTCAAAACAATATATTGGACCAGAAGGAAGAAACCACCAAACAGTAAAGAATGGAGAAATAAGAATTCAAAAAAATAAGGAGAGGCTTAGGAACCTCCAGGACATCTTTAAAAGTTCCAACATCCCAATTATAGGGGTACCAGAAGGAAAAGAGGAAGAGCAACAAGTGGAAAAGTTATCTGAACAAATAATAAAGGAGAACTTCCCCAATCTGGCAAAGGAAATAGACTTCCAGGAAGCCCAGGAAGCTCAGAGAGTCCCAAAGAAGTGGGACCCAAGAAGGAACACACCAAGGCACATCATAATTACACTAGCCAAGGTAAAAATGAAGGACAGAATCCTAGAAGCAAGAGATAAGGAGACAGTAACCTACAAAGGAGTGCCCATCAGACTGTCAGCTGATTTCTCAAAAGACACCTTACAGGCAAGAAGGGGCTGGAGAAAAGTATTCCAAGTCATGAAAGGCAAGGACCTACATCCCACATTGCTCTATCCAGCAAAGCTTTCATTTAGAATGGAAGGGCAGATAAAGTGCTTCCCAGGTAAGGTCAAGTTAAAGGAGTTCATCATCACCAAGCCCTTATTGTATGAAATGTTAAAGGGACTTATCTAAGAAAAAGAAGATAAAAAAGCATGTATAGTAAAATGACAGCAAACTCACAATTATTAACAACCACACCTAAAACAAAAACAAAAAGAAACTAAGCAAAGAACTAGAACAGGAACAGAACCACAGAAATGGAGAACACATGGAGGGTTAGCAACAGGGGAGTGGGAGGAGAAGAGGGGGGAAAAGGTACGGAAAATAAGTAGCATAGATGGTAGGTAGAAAATAGGGGGAGGGCAAGAACAGTATGGGAAATGCAGAAGCTAAAGAACTTATGACACATGGACATGAACTAAAGAGGTGGAATGTGCATGGGAGAGGGTGTGCAGGGTGGAGGGGAATGAAGGGGGGTAATGGGACAAGTGTAATAGCATAATCAATAAAATATATTTTAAAAAGAAATGCTTTCAGGTAAAATGCTTCTGCAGCCACTTCATAAGTGAAGTTTTGGTTTATGAGGACAAGGCAGTGGACACATCTTAAAGTGAGAAAAGTATATATGGGGGAGGGGGGTCACAGACCACAAAAGGGAGGAAGAACGCGAGTGGCAGAAATGCCAGCCAACCACACAGGGAAGTTGAGAAAGTTGATCTGTAAGAGCACTTCATGGAGAGATGCAAAGGATGTTATTATAAACCTCATTTTAACAGGTGACAAAACAGACTGGGGAAATAAATGACTTTTTGCCTGTGTCACCCTGCAAATGGCAGAATTGGGCTCTGAACCTGTGGCTGTTTCTAGTTCAGAGTGGTTGGCAGGGATGGTCAGTGGGCAGTAATGAGAGGTTTTCATGGTCATGCAGCTGGATCCCCTGCTTCCTTAGGTCCCTGAGACCTGGTGTGCTGTCAGCAGCAGAAGTTATGAGAGCCAGGGTGCTTTGTTTCACCAGGCCAGACACTTAACAGCAGCAAAAGTCTGTACACTAGGATACAGGGAGTGGCGGTCCCTGTACATGCCCCCCAAAGGAAGAAACACAGAATGTGCTATAACTGAAGCAAAATATTCTAGACAAGGACATTATTTCTGGGGTAATTTTATTTCTTTATTTTTTAGATTTTATTTACTTAAAGAGAGGGGAAAGGAGAAAGAGACAGAGTGAAACATCAGTGTATGGTTTTCTCTCATATGCCCCTACTGTGGACCTAGCCCACATCCCAGGCATGTGCCCTGACTGGGACTCAAACCAGCAACCCTTTGGTTTGCAGGTCGGCACTCAACCCACTGAACACCAGCCAGGGCATATTTCTAGGGTAATTTTTAAAGCAACACTGTCCCCAGAGGTTTCTGTAGGCCACCCATGGCCCCAGCATTCTATTAGTCAAAATTCAAATTTGTTCTTATCTATATCCTTTACAATATTCACAGGGACCACCTGAGAGAACATATATACAGCTTGTAGAAAGACTAAGGAAAAACCAAGTGGGCTATCTGTAGGCCTCAGCTTGTTGTTCAAGATCAGGATGCCGCCCCATGTTCTATACTCAGAAAATATACGGGAAACGCTTACATTTTATTTACACTTAAAGACGAGAACTCAGAGTGGATGTGTTATCCCAACACTGGAAGTTCCCCTGAAAAAAAAAATTTACCTAAGGCAAGAGGATTAGGATTCCTCTTCCCTAATTACATTAAGGGCTAACAATCCTCAAAACCTTTTATTTATTGCTTTTTAGAGAGGAAAGAAACATCAATCTTTTTTTGGGGGGTGGGGAGGGTGTTGCTTATGTTTGCATTCACTGGCTGATTCTTCTATGTGCCCTGACCAGGGACTGAACCCGCAACAATGGCATATCAAGAAGATGCTCTATCCAAATGACCTGGCCCTCCAAAACTTTTAAACCAATATACATGACTTTTTCATCTGAATTTCCTTCTTAAAAAGAGCGCCAGCAGAGTGAGCCTTAGCTTTTCTAAGCATGTTTTTGCACCTATGAAATGAGAGTGAGCTGATTAGTTCACAGAGTGATGGTCAGGATTACATGAGGTATCAAAAGTACTTTAACAGACCCCTTTGCATAGCATGTTCGTTGTATTAGGAATTATTTTTATAAACTTTAATAATAAATTAAGAACTGCACCCCTGGAGTTAGCCCTGCCCTCCATTCTAACCCTCGTCAGAATGGTTGAGCAAAGTGAACCAAGCACGATGAGCATTTTGGTTTGTGAATTCAGATTGCCAAGTTTCTGGTAACTCCTTAAGCTTCAGTGTCGAAATCAGAACTTCAATTAAGAAACATTAAAAGCTTTGGGGAGGTAAACTGAGGCAGTAAAAAGAAATACACGCCAAAAGTTCCTATTCCATTTGGTTCATTTTATTAGAAGTTGAGAACACAGCAAGGGCCACCCCCTGGTGAACGGCGCCGTCGCAGATGCCTTTCCGAGACCCCAGCCTTCTACGATCCCCAGCATGTGCTTTGTGGCTTCAGCAATTTATAAAGGGTAAGGGGAAAAATACTGAAAAAGGCCACTATTTAATGGTGAGAGAATGAAGCCGCAGAGGTCCTAATCAGCCTAGGGCCAAAAAAGAAAATTAAAAATCTGCAGAGCAAGCAAGCCTCTGACAGCTGAGAGTAAGGCATTCAGGCGCCAACCTGGTGAGAGTTCTCAGCGAGCACTGTAAGACCAAGTGCAGCGAGGCTGTTGGTAGTGAGTTGCACACAGACACACACATATAAATGAGCACACACACACCCACACACACACCCTAAAGAGATTTTTACTGGATTATACATCGGTGTTAAATTTCATGTTCCTAGGGGTTTGTGCTATGTTGAACCAGATTCAGCTCCTCCTTTGGGGTGTGGGGTGATGGGGCCCAGAGACTGCTACCTCTGTTGGTGTTGTTTCAAGGCTGCATCTGACACCCCATATCCCACGTGCATGACCGAAGAGCAAGTCTGGCTTCTGATATGTGCTGTTGTGTCTGTGGAACTAAGTGAGCTTCCTTCCAGATGGCCACTGTCCTACTGGACTGTCTCCTCAAATGGAGTAATACTGTTTATTCTGTTAGGCACTGAACCAATTTACCCACTTTTGTTGGGTCCACCTAGCACCCAGGGCAGTGACCTTATCCAGACCCAAAATACTCTTAAGTTCTTCCCAAGTTCTACAATGGATTCTTTCTTCCTGGTTCCCAGCTTTTGCTGGAAACTGGAAAGGGAAAGAAAAGAGTAAAAGACCCAAGAAAACCCTATCCGGAATAAATAGGAGACCCTTCCATATTCCCAAACATCTGGTTGAGGATGCCAGCCTACAAGCTTAGGACCTCAATATTTAGTCCTAGCACCCACAATCCCCAGGATGTAACAATCACCTGATGAGGGTAAGTAACCTAAGACTCGAGTGCTACTTGGGTGGCTTGAGTATGAGCCAAGATGCGAGTTCCCCTACCAGGCTATGAACCAGAGCCTTCCCCCACCACTCTGCCTGACACCATAACAGGGTAAAGACACAAGCAGTCTTTCTTTTACTTCTGGCAGCCCTTCAAAGATACAGTTTTAAAGGTTCTACCAGACTCCCTGACAACATACAACTTTCCTTTTATAACTTCCCACCACACTATCCCTTATAAGGGAATGCTGATACTCCACGTTGAGTACTGGGCCCTGCTTCACAAGAGTTCTCCTGGCTTTTCTGTTCAAGGAGAGCTGATATGTCTGTCATACCGAGGCTCACCAAGGTACCAGGTAAAAATCATTTTCCTAATCCAAAGGAAGCGTTCTTCCAACCTAGGTAAATGAGCTCAGGAGGCACCTGGACAAGGCAGAGTTTTGTGGCTGGCTCCATGCCAAGAAAAATGATGCTGAGAAAAAGATGACTTTTAGTCCCAGGAGGAAGAAGGGTAGTTGGGGCAGTGATTTTAATAGAGGGGAATTTCCAGGGTATTGCAAAGCTCTACAACAAGGATATGGAAAACTGTGACAACCCTATAATCAGATAAAAATCACCAAAAAACTGAACAGGATGCCAGAAGTAATCAGATCAGCCCCTGTGCTAATGTCTCCAGAGCTTCCCCTCTACCAGCATAAATGACTTTCTGAGGCAGGTGGCTCTATTCCTTAAAGGGTCATCAACATAAAAAAGAAGTCAGTCTCTCCAAGGACATCTAAACTAGAGCCTTTATGTAACATCCTGCTAGCCACTCACGTGCTGCTTCCACTGAGAACACACATACCAATTCCCTCTACCTCAGGACTCCCGAAAGCTCTCAGCCATGAGAGTGGTCATGTGATCACTGGGCTGGGGCTGTACTCTCTGCCCCACCGAGGTCCAAGGTATGTCAGCCTTCAGAAGGCACCTTGGTGCACCAAGGCATTATACATTCTGGGGCTACCACCTGATCCTCCTACAGTCACTTTGTGCAAAATTGAAACAGTGTGTGGTACTTGCATGTTTCATCCTATACAAAAATTCTCCCTCCCTCCCCTACCCCTGTGTTTTAAACATTTATATAAATTCTTATTTAAACAGTAAGTTAGAAATCTTATTTACATTGTTTGTTCTCCCAAAACAGCATCTAAAATCACACTCCCACCACTTAATAAGATATAAATGTTCACCTAAATTGGTTTGTATTATTGTTTTAAGGAGGGAGAAAGGGAGAAGGATGAACCGCCAGCTAAACTGTTTCTCCATCTTCAACAAATAAATATGATACAGATCAGAAGCCAGTTTGCCAAGGGTTCTGCAGAGCCCTTAAATCAGTACATCCCACGAATATGTCAGGGTTTGGGCCATTTCTCCTTTTCTCCTAATTGATGCACTCCATCCTTTGAGGTATGATTTATTTTTGTTTTTCTCTTCTCAGTCATGTGCCATGTGGAGCCCCTGGGGCATCACCAAGCCCATGAGGCTGTCCGAGTTTTGGAGCTCCTCTGCTACTGGCATCAGTGGACAGGAAGGGAGGCCTGCAGGTGCTTGCAGGCACTGGTTCAGGGTCCCAATCCCTGGCTACTGTAGGTGTCACAGTGCATCCTCTTCGCTGCAGCCTCCGCCGATCATGAAACGGAACTCTTGGAGGTTTGAGACCCCGTGGAAGTGAACAAAAGCGCCGGCAACCACAAAGATGTGGAATAGCTGATGAGAGTGAAACTGGAGGGGGAAAAAAAGGGGGGGGGGGTTGGAGAAACCTATGCATTATTAAAAGTCTGCTGAAGGTTCTTAAGACTATTTATGCTGAGCACAGGGCAAGGAATGGATGTGACAGAGCTCAAATTCAAGGTGTCCACAGATCCTGGGATATACATTAGGCATATCATATTCTGCTGAACTGAAGACCAGCTGTCCCCAAAGAAATCAAGGTGCTACTGCTAAGGTCTAGACATGAAAATGTGCACACTTAACACTGCAGTATAAGGTGAACACAGGGGCAGTGCTGCACACAGACTCCTGCCGACAGGCCGCCAAGGCCCCAAGGGTCCCCTCATGCCTAGGAGCAGGAACGGTTAGACAGAGGGCATTTTCCTCTTTGCTGACAGACATATTTGTCATAGGCTAAAGCACTTGAGCTGTGGTCATTTAAATGTTAGAAAATGCTCTCTGTTAGAAAAACTAAAGGGATTTCCAGGACTGGGTAAAGGTCAAAACATATGGTGGCTGGAGTTTTCTCCAGCTTTAAGACTCTGGAATTACACAGACAAAATACTACATATATCAAAAGACTAGAAAAGCAGGGTCTTTCACTTCCTCCTGAAGTCAGAAGCTGATCTACAACCATGTGACAGTATTTCTGATTTAACCTGTGCTGCTGAATGCTCAAAAGGGGCTATCAAACGCTCAGTGCACCGAACATTACTTCAAAATCACACGATTCTCTCATTATAGTCTCAAAATGAAAAAGTACAGCAGCAAATAAAAATACAGCAGCAGAACAGTATTTATCAAGGGAAAGACATTGATTTTAGAAGTGTAAACTAGAAGGATCTATTAACAGCCAAGGAGTTGTTTCAGAGGACACCAAAGGGAACTTACTCTCCCCAAAAGGAGAAAAGGTAAAAAATCTTCCCATATCAATGTCAAAATTATGAAGAGACAATCTCAGAGTGATAAATTAGCTAATTTCAAGCTCAAAAGATTACCTAAATTAGCATTATTGCCATTTTACAGATAGCTAAACTAAACTTTAAAGAGACTGCATGATCACCTTAGTCTATAACAATCAACAAGAGGTTAAGAAACACAATTCCAAAGGTCAGACTTCATGTCAAACAACACTCTAATTCTGTACTGTTGAAAATGTTTCAAGCCATCTTCTGTCATAAAATGTTCCAACTGTTGGTCCCGTGTATCTTCTTTCCCTCTCTCTTTCCTTTCTTACCATTAACCACAAGCTAAGTTATCTCTACCTCCCACTCCAAACAAACACATCCACATACTCTCTCTCTCAAAACAAATCATTAAACTTGGTGATCAAAAAGGATCTAGGTAAAACTCTGGCCCCAAAAAAGGATTTCAGTAAAAATCTGATCCATCGCCTCCATTTCATAAACAAGGAAGCTGAGATAAAAAATGACTAAATGACTTGCCAGTACAGTGTAGTATACACTCTGACACTAGACCAACCTCATTCATATTCTACTCCTACCACTGGAGCCACCTACCTCCCTAACCCTCATGTCCTAATCTGCAAAATGAAAACATTAGTAACAATTATTATACCTTATAGGGCTAATGCGTTACATGAGGTTATCCGTGAGAAGTGTTCACTCAGTACTGTGCCAGACACCAAGTAAGTGCTCAATACATATTCCATATTTTGCCATGTATAATGCACACTTTTTTGCCCAAATTTTTTAGGGAAACTTAAGGATGTGCATTATACATGGGCAGTACCTGAAATACCTTGTATTTGTTCTTGTGTCCTGTAATTGTAACATAAAATTTCTTCTACCATATGTCCCCCCAAAATGCTAAAATTCCTTTACAATACAAAAAACAAGTATCTAAATATAAATAATAATTGAATTAAAAATTAAAATGAGCCTTGGCTGGTGCAGCTCAGTGGATTGAGCACCAGCCTGTGAACTAAAGGGTTACTGGTTCAATTCCCAGTCAGGGCACATACCTGGGCTGCAGGCCAGGTCCCCAGTTGGAGTCGTGCAAGAGGCAACCACACACTGATGTTTCCCTCCCTCTCTCTCTGTCTCTCTCTCTCCCTCTCTGACTAAAAATAAACAAATAAAATCTTAAAAAAATTTTTTTTTCTCTGAAAGTGTGGGCCAAAAACGTGGGTGTGCATTATACATGGGAATGCATTATACACGGCAAAATATAGCAATTGTTATACTTATCATCCAGAGGAACACAAGTAATGAGGGAGAGTTAGGACTAGAATACAGATCTGTTGATTTTGAGTCTAAAATTTTTTCAGTTATTTTACTTCCCAGTCTGCCAATAACCCACTAAGAGGGATGTACGCATGTACAATAGCCACCTCTGATCATACTTACCCAGATGTCACACTTGCCAGGAAAGAAGCGTTCAGGGATGCGGGCAGCATACAGGGCAGCCCCTGTGATATAGAGGCTGGCCATCAGCATCAACCAGCCAATCTGTCCTATGGTGGCAGCCTTCAGGAACCCCTCCGAGATGACATAGTGCAAGGCAGGAATGATTCCACTCAGGCCTAGTCCCAAAAACACTCCTGAGAATCACGAGAAATAAATAAAACAAAAATGTAGAATAGAAATAAGGAACGAGAAATAAATATTACAACACAGAACCAACCATTCTGTAAAATGAATACTTCCAAGTATAATGAAACATTAGCTTCTTATACGAATGGAAAAAGAAGGTTCCTCAAACTCGAGCATACTGCCACAAGGACAGCAAAGTTCTATTTTAAAAGATAGATCTAGTTATAAATTCAAGGAGCCTCCTGCTAAGAGAGGCTTAACAAGTGAGCAGTCCTCAAAGGGTGTTGCAGTATTTTAGGAACTAGACAGCTCTAGGAGTGTGTTCAAACCTCGCTAAATGCTGCCTCTCCATAGACACCGATGGCAAAATGAAGCATAGACACAGATATTTTAAATATTTTATCTTCCCTTTAAAACAACAGATATTAATGGTAATGGAAAAAATACAATAATCTTTTTTAAAAATACATAAAACAAGAAATATTCTTGAGGTAGGAGGAGCAGGAGGGATGAGAGAGTGAGAGGTGGAGGTAAGGAAACACGAGGCAGTTACAGGTTCTGATGACACCCCAAAGCATTTTTGGGAACCACAGCTGGAACCACACTCAGCTAGAGGTTCAACCCTCCAAGCCTAGGTTGTGTCCTCATTTCCGAGACAGAGACAGAGAGTCAGATATGTTTCTGAAAGTTTCCAGGCCCAAAAGTACCAATCAGTTACAGAAGTCTACAGAAGTCTATCAGAATCACTTCACTAAGCCCTACATGCCTTCAAAATCGATAGTGTTTTTCAAACTTCCAGATATAACCTAGGTTATAAGATCAACTGAGTCTGGATCAGAATTTTTTTAAATAAACTAGAGTAAAATAATATATATCACATTATGTCACAAGTGGAGAGTACTAGTTGGTAAAAGTTTTATAATTGATATTTCTGTCCATTTGTGTATTAAAACAAAATGTCACGATGAAAAAAGTTTGAAGGCAACTGACCTAAAACCCACTTTGAGATGTGTGTCAACCCACACACCACATGAACTCCCTGCAGGAGCCGAAACTGCTGCTACACTTTTGACACAAAGACTTAAGAATGGCCCTTGCAAAACAATGGTAATCTTCCTGAAAAGAAAGGGGCCTACTGCTTGCTTTAGACATCATTCCACAAGCTGCTGGTATACAACGATGTAGGCACATACCCATATTCATAAATAAAATGGACATCAACAGAGAAAAGGAAAATGGCAATGCTCATCTCATAAAAGAAATAAACCAAGCAGGCCTAAATAAAAACTACTCCCTACCTCTATTCCTCACCCAAGAGAAGTCACTATGACCCTGTTTCTTCACTTGTTCTGTTCCTCTGTGTGCTAAGCAAAGGCTGCCAATGGTCCTGCCTGTCGTTCTCTAAGTCAAAGCTCGGGAACTTGGTTCTTCTGATGTGTGTGAACAGCAGAATGCTCAGCTCTACTCAGCAAAGAGGTTCTTAACTCAAGTACTTAAGCAAGCTTAACACTAAGGTTAAGTACTACTGTAAGCCAGCCCTGACCACTGTTCATTTGCTCACATAAACATTTAAGGAGGGAAGAGAGTAATGTTAGAGCACAGAGTTAACTCTAACTCCTAACCTTCTAGGTAACTGCAGGTGAACCATGGCTTGGATTTTAACACTAAACAGATGTTTTTGTTTTCTGTTCTAAAGATTGAAAGGAAAACTACTCCTTTTAATACTTCTTCATTCTCAGTAGGCACTGGGTTTGATGCCAGGAACAGAAAATTCAAGACATAGACTTGGTTATAAGGACTTTCTAGTCCAGTAGAAGACAAAAATCATGTCTCTGTTAGCCCTATACTCTTACAGGAAGGCTCAAGCAAGACACTGAAAGGCTTGTGGGCTTTCCATACAATCTGTAAAAAGCCTCTTTATCCCTACATCAGAAGAGATATATGGTGCCTACATTAGTGGAACACAATCAGTATGAAGTCTTTTTTAAATTTTTTTATTTTATTTCTTTTCATCGCCTCTTATCCCCCCATACCATTTTCCACCTCCACTCGTCCCCTCCCCACCCCATATGGAGTGAATTCTTATTTACCTAAGCAGACTGCACAATTTAAAATATACAAAACAAAAATAACAACAACAAAAAGAACAAATCACTGCAAAAAGTATGCTTCATGCTGACAGTAAGAGGAATCACTGATTATTTTACAAAGGTTACAGAGCTCCCCAGTCTCATCGACAGTATATGGCCATAAAACTAAAGTGAATTACACACTGCCCAGAACACAGGACCCACACAGCTTACCACTGTTCATCAACTCCACTGCTTTACCACAGCTGATGAACATTGCTTTAAAAGCCTCCAAGAACAGAACTATAATTTATTCATCTTTGCATCATAAGTACATAGTATAATGCTTAGAAAATAAATGGCAGACCTTAAGTAAATGACTGGTAAATAAATGTTTAATGTAAAACCTCCACATGCTCTTACCTGCTCTGACTCCCCGATACTGAGGGGTGGCAAACATGTCCCACTGGGAGACTATAATGGCTGCGATGCCCAGCACACAGATGACAATCAGGTAGATGAAGCAAGGTTGTGGATTACAGTAGAAAGAATAATAAAGCCACGGAACAAAACTTCCCATAATCAGAAGAGCAATGCCGGAGTAATCTAGTCTAGGATGGGAGGGAGGGAGAAATCCATTTGTTAGAAATCACTGTGCATTACATGCTCAAATTAATCCCCCATAACACAAGCCAGCAATGACAGCTAAGAAGCAAAGTGGGGTGCTTGCTTTAATTTTTTTAAACGTTCTTATCAGATGGCATTAAGAATTCTGTCAGCTCCGCTAGATGTTCACTAATTCACTAACTCTGTATCATTAATCAAAATATGGACTTTACAGATACTTACTTAGAGAAGAGTCGGGAGACCCCTTCTGAGTGGCAGTAGACTGTGTGGAAGAGCCACGAAAAAGAAAGGCAGAGAATGGCCCCCAAGAAGAACAACCCAAAGACCACCTTCTCTTGCAGAGGGGCCACAAAGGAGATGTTTGGACGGAACATATAAAAGATCCCCAGGCACAGGAAGAATACACAACCTAAGAGAAGAGTACAGGGGAGGGGGAAAAAAATTATCCTTTTGAAGAGACAATATTTTTTGTTGATTCCATTTTCAATCCTTCACACAATGACAGTCTGGGTCAAGAGTTCCATAAGAAAAATCTTCTAAATAACCAAAGCCTATCCAAATTTTTGGCTACTTCAAGCATTGTTGGTATCGTATACTTTTCAGCATCATTTTATAATGCTGAAATACAAAATCCAATCACTTATTTATCTAAGAACATAATTTAAAAAGTGGTGCCACTCTTAGAAGACTACATTAGTCCACTTCTACCTCTAGAGCTACTACAAAAGTTCATTTGTAATGTTTTGAGCACATTATGCTATAGTCCAGCTTACAAAGGTCCACTTTGCATTTGTTTTTGTAATAAATCCCAATACCTCCAAACCCTGCCAAGAAATACAGCTTTTCTCCACCGATAGCTGTCAAGGAACACTATGCTTCTCTGTTCCTCGCCAATTGGCCCAACAGATTCAAGAAGTAAGGACAGTGACCCTGGCCAGGTAGCTCAGCTGGTTAGAGTATTGTCCCAATACACCAAGGTTGCAGGTTCAATCCCCAGTCAGGGCATGTATAAGAAGCAACCAATGAATGTGTCAAGAAGTGGAATTACAAATTGATGTTTGTTTCTCCCTCCCTTCCCTCTCTCTCTAAACATCAATAAATAAAAATTAAAATTTTTTTTACAAAAAAATAATTAAGAACCATAAAATGCCTATTCTGGCTATTTCATAACCAATTTTTAAGCTATTCTTCACAGTAAGATTTCATGTTCTTACTGCTTAGGGAAAGAAGGGCCACTTAACAAAAGACAGGCACAGATATTAAGAATTTAAACATTTGCTAAGTGATTCTGTTTGATCCATTTAATAAAACATTTACCCTGGAGTTAGACATCAGCAACAAACTTGATTTTATACTCTGTTCTGTTCTCACTATACTAGCAACGTAGGGACATGGGGACACAGTGGAAATCAAATGTGTTAAGAAATGCAAGTCAAATGGGGTAAAGGCCAGAAACTATTTAGTATACAATAGTTTTCCCCCTTATCCAGTTTTGTTTTCTGTGGTTCAGTTACCCACAGTCAATAGTGATCTGAAAATATTAAATAAAAAATTCCATTTGCTTTGAATCCATAAGCTTTGAATTGCAAACCATTCTGAGTAGCACGATGGAATCTCATGCCATCCTGTCCAGGTTGTGAATCGTCCCTCTGCCCAGCGTGCATATGCTTCTACCTTCCCACCCCTTAGTCCCTTAGCAGCCATCTTGGTTATCAGGTCTGTTGATGGGTCTGATACCATATTCACACAGACACCACATGCACACAACTTATATTACAGTATATAGTTATAACGGTTCTATTTTATTGTTGTTAATCTCCTAATGTGCCTAATTTATAAATTAAACTTATCATAAGTGTGTATATATAGAAAAATATATAGCATATACGGGGTTCAGTTCTATCTGCAGTCTGAGGCATCCAGTGTGGGCCTTGGAATGTATCTCCCTTGGACTTCACAAGGTTGTGAAATCATCACTATTATTAAATTCCAGAACATTTCCATCACCCCCAAAAGAAGCCCTGTACCTGTTACAGCGATATCCCATTCCCCAATCCCTACTCCAGTCATCCACTAACCTAGTTTCTGTCTCCAGACTTCCCATTCTAGGCATTTAATGCACATGGATCATGTAACATGTGGCTTCTTCCATTGAGCATGTTTTCAAGCCTCACTCATGTTGTAGCATGTATCAATATCAAGTAATAGTTCACTGTATGGATATACCACATTTTACTTTTCAATTCACCACCTGAAAGATTTTGAGTTGTTTCCACGCTTTCGCTATTATAAATAATGGTGCTTAAGTACATTTGTGTACTCATCCTGTGTGAACATGTTTTCCATTGTCTTAAGTCTAAGGAGTAGAACTGTTGGTAACCCTGTTGAAGCATCTGAAGAACTGCCATACTGTTTCCCATACGGCTGCACCATTTTATATTCCCACAAGCAATGTATGCGAGTTCTGATTTTCCACATCCTTGCCAAGGCTTGTAATTTTCCATTTTCTTGTTTATAGCCATTCTAGTGAGTTTGCCATGGTATTTCACTGCATTTCACAAAGTATTTGATTTGCATTTCTCAAAATGACTAATGATGTTGAGCATCTTTTCATATGTTTATCGGCCATTTGTAGATCTTTGAAGAAATGCCTATTCAGGTCCTTTATTCATTTTTCAAACTAGGCTATCTTTTTATTGTTTAGTTGTAAGAGTTTTTTACTAGTACAACAGTCCCCAATCTTTCTGGCACAGAGGACCAGTTTCATGAAAGACAATTTTTCCACAGATGGCAGGTGGGGTGTGGGAGGGTGTTGCGGAGATAGGAGGCAGGGCTCAGGTGGTAGTGTGAGCAAAGCTCTGCTCACCTGCCACTCACCTCCTGCTGTGCAGCCCGGTTCCTAACAGGCCACTGACGGTTACATGTCCACAGTGCAGGGGCTAGGGGCCCCTGCTTTACTAGACCTTTATCAGATATGCACTTTACAGATATTTTCTGTTCTATGGGTTACCTTATCCTTTCTGGATAATTTTTTTTGGCATATAAGCTTTTAATTTTGATTAAGTCCAATATATCCATTTTTTTCCTTTGGTTGATATGCTTTTGGTGTCAATTCTAAGAGACTGTCACCTAATCCAAGGTCACAAACAGTTACATCTATGTTTTCTCCTAATGATTTTATAGTTTTAGTTTGTATGATTAAATCTTTCATCCATTTTGAGTTAATTTTTGCATATGGTGTAAGGTGGGGTTCCAACTTTATTCTTTTACATGTAGCCGCTCAGTTATTCCTAATACCATTTATTAAAATAATACCATTTATTAAGATACTCTTTCCCCCATTGTATTCTTTCTTTAACATACAATCATTATGGGAAAAATATTACACATTATATTCTACTTCAAGCCAAACTGAAATTTAATTGTGAATATTCTAAGTAAATACTTTGAAAAACCAGCTTATTTCTAATAAATAACTACCTTCCTCTTAGTGTTCAATAAAATATTTTTCTCATTTTGTATAGAACCTTTCTCTTGGCCTGGTTCAAATACTGTCTAGAAATCCAGTAGTGGTGGACAGATCAAGTTAAAAACAAAAAGGACTCATGGACATGGACAATAATGTGGTGACTGGGGGCGGGGGGCGGGTATGTGTAGAAGAGGTAAATGGTAATGGAAAAAATGCAATTAAAAAAATCAGTAGAGAAAAATATGACAGCTATAAGAAATTCATAGTACAAACCACAGAGCAAATCAGTGAGAAACTGCATCATTACAAATCCAGAAAACAAAATGGCAAATCCCAAATATATTTTTTAAGTTCCATCCTTACCATCAAATAAATAAAACATTTAAAAAATAAAGAATCAGCAATTCATTACACCACTGATATTTCATACCTAAGAGATGTGTCCAGATGTTGCCCGTCTCTGTGTGTATTCTGAAAATGCTCTTGAAACAGGCCCGGAAAGAAGGCATAGGAGGCCGGTGTCCATGTAAAAGGAAGTCATTGTCCTTGAGCCAGTCTGGCAGCACATCATGGGGGATTACTCGCCATCGACCTTCCCATACCTGGAAGAAAAATATTATCAACTATCTTTGGAGTTCTGTCACTTTAGCAACACTGGTCCCAAATAATAATCTGTTACATTTTCTTATTAGAAAAAAACCTTACTTTCAGAAAGACAAACACATTCAAAATGCATAATGTCCTACATTCTGAGTTTTTAAAAAACAGTTTGATCAAAATTAGATTTTTAAATGGGGGGAGGGGCTTTCCTTAAAAAAGGGAAGAGGTAAATGCATTGACAGAACATGCCCTAAAGAGTTGCTTCAAACTCTGTTTCCATCTGGCTAAAGTAGGTGAGGGGTCTAAAGTCCCACTTATACAGACTCCCTCCATCCTCCACAACAAACTTTACCTCTGAATAATCTGACATTAAATATGACCATTTTTATACTTAGTCCTGTTGGTAAAAAAAGAACTATAAAGAATCATACTTTTGTGTCTTTTGCTAAAATCTGTCTTAATCCTTTTACTCTCTCTTCTCTTCCTATCACAGCAAATATAATGAAGTAGAAAAGAAAGAATGTATAAGTCAGAAAATCTCGGATGTCTGCCATTAATTAATTGAACAAGCTTTACTCACAAAATTGCCAAGCCTCAGTTTCCTCGTTTATAAAATGAAGATAATAGTGCTTTGATTACTTCATAAAGAAGTTATGAGGATCAAATGAAATGGCCCAGATCACTTCATAAATGGGTTAGCAACCAACAGCCACCGAAGGTAGTATTAATCCTAACCTTCCCCAAAGGCTACTGTAGGAGGGTGCAGCCAGAGGGTCCCCAAAAGAAGGATTTGTAATGGGGTTCAGAACTCAAGGTGTCCAGGAAATATTAATAAGATATATATAGGATGTCCTCACCCTCCACCACAGGTGTGAGTTGGGGGAAGGGACAAATGGAGCAGGGTCATTGAGAGCTGTTTCCCATAGCAACAGCCTTGTAGCTACCCTCTGGTGTGGTCATTTAACACATCTATAACCTTTAACTGGTTACATAGATATGTTAAATAGCTGTGGCCAAGCTCTGAGCCAGGGGAATGGAAGTAACTTCCCCGCCAAGATGTAACTGGGGGGCAGGTCCTCCGAGCAGTGCCTGCGTGGGAGCTTGGAGATGACTGGCTTCATGACATGGGGCCGCACCTGCCCAGACTCATGACGGCAGTTCAGTAAAGCTGAAAGGATATGAGTTCTGGCATGTGAGGCCGAGTGTGAGAGGAGTCGGAAATGAGGCTGCAGAGGAAGATTGGCGCAGGGATTTAAACCCAGACAGGGCAGCCATTGAGGGGAGAACCACGCGGCTTTAGCAGAGTGGGGACTCCCGCAGCCCTGCGAGAGAGAATCACCACGCGGCTTTAGCAGAGAACCGCTACTTGGCTTTGCCAGAGTGGGGACCCCCCCTCCTTGCAGCCATTAAGGAGAAAGAAGCACACACTTTTGGCACAGGGGGATCACCCCCAACCCCCGCAGCCATGAGAAGAATCACCACGCGGCTTTAGCTGGAGATTCCGGCAACACAGCCGATGATGCTGGGAACTGAGGAAGTCCTACCAGCCAAGATGGATTACTGGGAAGAACCAGGCGCTGCCTGAGCCACGGACTTCTATTTCTTTTCCTGAGATATGGTACCCCAGACTGGGCAAAGGGGGGAAGGAAGGACTGTGTGTATTTGTAGGTGTTTTAAAGAACTTTGGAATTTTAACAAAGGCATTAAGTCATTACTTTTGGTCTGTATAACTTGAATAAATAACGCCTTTCTTTTTCACCAATCTCTAACATGAAGAGCTATAATTCTCTGGCTTAGGAAAAAGTGAACCTAGTACAGGGGGACCCCAGGAAAAACGGGGGTCAATTTGGTAGCATTGTGGGACCTTCTTCCCTAGTGACCAGTCGGGGAGGATCATGGCAGACCACATGCACAGTAGCTTTAAAGTATTGCAACTACTTGTACATGTGGCCCACCAAAACTAGCCAGGAAGGATCCGCCCTATAAGAATAGAGTCCCTCCAGCCCATGAGGTCAATCTCTGCTTGGAGTTGGCCAGCTCCTATGTTCTCTGCTATAAACTCTGGGTTTTTGGTTCAATTCTTTGTCCCTATCACTAAGAACCTGGTTACCCACCTGTGACACTACCACCTGTCTAAGAATTAGTAACTAACCCAGCCTGCTCATGCTGGAGAGATGGCAAAGAAGTTAAGCCTTAACTACCTTTCAAGTTCCTTCACCCCCCCACCCCTTCTCCCTTTTCCTCACTGTCCCCTCCCCATCAAACTCTAAAGGAAAAGGGATCAGAAGTTTTGCTATCTCCTCCTTAAAAAGTCTGTCAGCCTCTGCTCTGCTTCTTTTAACATCTCTCAGCCCCGGGAGCTCACACCACACAAGGATCACTTATTCCTAAACTAACTTGCTCCTGGCTAGCCAGAAAGATGTAAGAAAAAAATGCCAGGTATATGGTCTACCTTTAGGCTTTAGCTTCAGGCAATGATTCCACCTGTTCCCCTCAGGGTTCTTGTGACAAACAATGTGGCTGGGCCATGCAAACTTGAATGTCACTCTACTAAGCAGAAAGATTACCGCTTAGTTACTATGCCCATTCCTTCCACTTCACAACATTGTCCTATTTCTGCTCTCCTTAATCCTTCCTAACTGACACATATTAAAGAACTGATCCTCTGTGTAACTCCTAAAAAAGTGAGGACTAAATTTAAGAATAGAAATGGCCCTGTGGTTGCTGGTGCTAATTTGATCATTCAATGCTTGTTCCTAATATACAATAAAAAATAAAATAATACTGAAAGACTAATCTAGAGGGTTTTAAAATTATTTATTTATTTTTAGAGAGCGAGAAAGGGAGGGACAGAGACAAGGAAAGAAACATCAATGTGAGACATTGATCAGTTGCCTGATCAGCTGTCTCTCATGTGCATCCCCACTGGGAACCAACCCCGCAAACCCAGGCATGTGCCCTGATTGGGAATCAAACTGGTGACCTTTCACTTATGGGACAACACCCAACCGAGCCACACTGGTCAGGGCTAATCTAGAGGTTTTTGTGTACTGTTAATATTACCACTGTTACAGGGTGCAGCCAAGTGGGGGGGGGGGGGGGAGATAGGGTTTTGGAATGGGGCCCAGAACTCAAGGTGTCCAGGAAATATTAGGATGTCCTCACCCCCACCCAACAGGTGTGGGTTGGGGGAAGGGACAAATGGAACAGGGCCATTGAGAGCTGTTTTGCATAGCAACAGCTTTGCAGCTAACCTCTGGTGTAGTCATTTAACATATCTATAACCTTTACCTGGCTGCATAGATATGTTAAATAGCTGTGGCCATGCTCTGAGCTAAGAGAATGGAAGTAACTTCCCCACCAAGGTGTAACTGGGGGGGCATGTCCCCTGAGTTACAGCACCTGCTTGAGAGCTTGGAGATGATTGGCTACATGGCATGGGGCCACGCCTGCCCATACTCACAATGGCAGCCCAATAAAGCTGGATGGATATGGGAGTGCTGACACATGTAGCCAATTGTGGGAGGAGTCAGAAATGGCGCTACAGAGGAAGACTGGCTCGAGGATTTAAACCCAGATGTGGCAGCCACTGGAGAGAGAACCACGTGGTTTTGCCAGAATGGGGACTCCCGTGGCCCTGGGAGAGAGAACCACGCAGTTTTGGCTGAGTGGAGACTCCCACAGCCATTGTGCAGAGAGGACCAGGTGGTTGTGGCAGTGAAGGAGAGCCACAGGGCTTTGCCAGACTGGGGACCCCCACAGCTTTAGAAGGGGGAGCCACAACCCGGCTTTAGCAGGGATCCCAGCGACATAACTGATGGTGCTGGGAACCGAGGGAGGCCTACCAGCTGATACGGATTACTGGGAAGAACTGGGGACTGCCTGAGCCACGGACTTCTATTTCTTTTCGTGAGATACGGTACCCCAGACTGGGCAAAGGGGGGAAGGAAGGACTGTGTGTGTTTGTGGTATTTTAAGGGACTTTGGGATTTTGATGAAGACATTAGGTCACTACTTTAAGTCTGTGCAGCATTAAATAAACATTTCCTTTCCTTGTCACGAATCTCTGGCATTGAGAGACATCTTTCCTCTGGCAGTGGACATAACAAACCTGGGGGGTTCCTTTGGGTAATAGTATATCGTCCTAGACCCCCTTGTTGTTCTGTAACACCACCACTTATGAAAGGAGCTGTAGCTTCCATAGGACTTTAGAGAGAGAAAGTGAGAGAGACATACCAAGACAATGAATTTCTTTTATCTAATTTGAACTTGTGAAAGACTATTATTGTTGGGATTAACCTTACAAGATGCTGCTACTCCACTGTACTTTGGGAGAATTTTATTTCCTAAAAGGGAGAGGAAGACAGACATCAATCCTTACATCTCAAGGCAAACAGCTCTACTGTGACCATATGAAAAGTGCTATTGTGTTGCCACACTGAAACAAAATGGTCAAACACTCCCTTTTTATAGTCAGAAGGAATATGCTGAGTTTCTTACTAGTTATATGTGCATATAATGACAGAATGATTCCCCCCATTGTTTCTATACAAACATTCTAGTGGTCTAAAAACTGAGCCAGGGAGCTGTATTTTCTAATTACACTGCAATTGGTGTTATATTCAACAGACCCTGCACCCTCATTCTCAACTTGGAGTTGAGCCAAATGCCAACCCAAACAGGTATCCTCTTTTATTGCCTGGGGGAAAAAAGAGTAGGATCACAGCTTAGATGAAGACATGTTTATTTATAAGCTTCACAAAGACACCACCTAAATCAAACTTAGCAATGGCCCACTGGGTTTGTATTAGACCATACAGTGCACAAAAGAGAATTTTTTTAAAAAATTAAAAACTACCCACAATATACCTATTCCCACATAGGCCAGGCTATGCTGGTAAAATCACAGCAACTTAAGGCTGAAATAAAAGAGATCAAGATCAAACTTGGACATTCTATAGAGACTAAAATGATTTTATTTCCCCTATTCCTGTAAGAAAAGCTTTTCCTAAGGGGAAAGTACAACCAGTAAGGCCACAGGACATTTCATTTTAAACTGTCTCCATTTACTTGCTTCTAATCAAAAAGCAGAATTGTTGTGTCCCTGGACATGGCTAGTTTTCAACAACAGCCAGTTGCACCACCACAGCAGGGTGGAGCAGCTCTGGAGAACACCACGTTAGGAGCAAGCCTCTTCTTGTTCTCATACACAAATGCAAGAGGATGATAAGCAAATGGTTTATCTATTTCTCTACTCCACTCATTTTTCTTCAGTAATCAGTTTGTAGCAAAAATGCTCTATATATTCTCCATTTAGCTGTTAAACTGAAAGTTTTATTGAATATTTGCTTTATTCTTTGTTCTTAGTTCAGAAAGAGAACAAAAAAGTCAGTGAAGTTAGCTATAGTGCCCCACTCGTATATAAATATTGAAAATCCTTAGTGGCCCAGAGAATAAAATCTCAACTTTTTTTAAAAAAAGGATTTTATTTACTTATTTTCAAAGAGAGGAGAAAGGAGGGGGAAAGACAGGGAGAGAAACATCTATGTGAGACAGAAACATCAGTTGGTTGCCTCTTATACATACCCCAACCCAGGACTGAACCCACAACTCAGGTATGTGCCCTGATCGGAAATCAAACCAGTAAACCTTTTGCACTTCAGGACAATGCCCAACAAACTTAGGTACACAGGTCAGGGCTAAATACTCAACTTTGAGGACTAAATCCCAAACTTGCTTTTTGAAAAACAAAATATATCTTTTTTTATCCTCCTGTGTTAATTCTCCAGAGTCAGCAATCACTAGACTGGATCTCTTATTTTGCTTGACTTTTTCTTCACCAATTTTCAAACACTGATTAAAATGTCCTGGGTTTTAAGTAGACCCATAAATGTTTATACCCCTCCCCCACCACTTTCCATCAATCCCTTCATCTCGGAAGGCATTTCTAAATTCAGATCATAATGTTTTCTTCTTATCCTCTGGTCCAAAGTTCAGTAATATAAGTCAACTGGCCCCTATTATTTCTAGTCATTGTGAATGTATAAAAACCTAAGTTTAGTTTTCAGGATCTATGACAACATGCATGAAAAGTCCTGGCTTTATAAAACCTATGAAAAAGCTTAGCACAAAAATTTCTCTCTAAGTGGAAAAAAGTTTTTTCCAGAAATCTTTAATAAAGGAATTTACATACACATATACATATGCACAGACAAAATATGACTTACGTGGACTTTAAATCGTACCTGCCGGGGACCTAATCAATTGGATTAATCAAGTGGTTATAAATCCTTGCCTATTTTCTCTAAGCAAGCAACCCCAATTCCAGTTACCATTTTAGGGGAAAAAATATCTGCATAATAGGTCCTAATGGATCAGAAAATGAATTGGAAGAAAAACCTTAGAGACAGAAAATAATATATCAGCTAAACTGAAAACATTAGACATGTATGAAAATCAGGTAATTCCTATCTAAAAAATAGGTTGAAGACCCATACAATCCCTAGAATGAGTAGCAAATCTGTCATCACAGTCAACATTAGAATAGATTTAAGGGACTAGAGGTGGCATTTTAGTATCTCCAGGCATCCACTCCCTCCCCAATTTTGTTTTATCCTGTCTTATGTAAACTATCAATAACCTATTATTAGGAAAGACTTGTTTTCCAGTTGGATGTTCTAGTTTTCCCAAAATGTGATCACAGCTGCTACGCAGGCAAATGTTATTATACCTCGAACAGGGTTAAAGTCATGAGACTACTTTTGTCTCCATTTTCCCAGATTATTCCCAAAGCGAACCTAAGGCTAATGTACTATCACTCTCCTTTAAAGGTTTCTGTCTGGGAAGAGCTGATAATATAGTGGGAAAAAGACAAGAAATTGCCATCTTACCTTACAAACAAACTCCTCCATTCTTTCCATAGCATGATGGGCTTGTAAGAGAGGGGACATTCCCATAAATCCCTCCTCTTCCTGAGAAGCTTCATCATTACATTCATGTTCCTCAGAGCTCTGCAAGGTAACCACAGAAACAGTCAGCAACGGAGACCAGGAGCCAAAGAAACACAATCAATACACTGTCCTTGAAGAATTATAATAAAATTCTCCTAAGGTCAAAGCAAGGCCTGAGACAAGTAAAAACACAGAAGTAAAGTCTCTTCATTATAGAATCATGAGTATTAAAAATGAAGAATAGTTACTCAAGTTTCCTCTGACAGACAAATGAACTATAACAACAACATTCCTATGTTTGGTTCAGTAGCGAAGTTCTGGAGTAGCTTAAATGATTTGTTTTTGTTTTAAGAATATTCATAAACCACATATTATTAAGCAGATAAAGTTGAGGAAATACTGAGTTGAAAATTTTCAAGCACCCCACCTGGTACATATAAAGTAATTGTAGTACAATGTAGTATGTGCTCTAGGGGAAAAAGAGAAAAAAACATTTACTAAATTCTTATAATATGCCAAGCACAGCCCTGGCTGGTATGGCTCAGTGGATTTGAGTGCCAGCCTGCAAACCAAGGGGTCACTGATTTGATTCCCAGTCTAGGGCACATGCCTGGGTTGTGGGCCAGGTCTCCAGTAGTGGACACTCAAAGGCAACCTCACATTGATGTTTCTCTCCCTCTCTTTCTCCCTCCCTTCCCCTCTCTAAAAATAAAAAATCAAAAATATGCCAAGCACAAAAAAGAGGGCTTTATACAGGCCATCTACCTAAATCCTAACAACCACCTTACTAGGTAAGTATCCTTATCTAATTAACATTAAAAACATTAGGCAAAGAGGTTAAATCAGTTGCCCAAGGGTAAAACTGATAATATATAAAAAAAAAAAATAAGTCTTTCCACATTCTTGAGGAAGTGATCAACTTATCTAGGAAAATAAAGAAATGCCAATCTGGTTAGACCTTAAAGGATAAAATTAAGATTTCTGTTTCTAGATCAAGCTTCAAACTAGTTTAGATAGGATGATATTTGTGATAAGGGCAATGGACTCAACAGAAGTCAGGAGACCCAAGTAGTAAGCCTGGTTCTACCATTAATATCAATCTTTCCATAGGTCTCTCAACTTTTCTGAACCTCAATTTTCTTATTCTATCTAAAAGAGGAGTTTAAACTAAACAATCTCTACAGTCTTCTCCATTCTCTAAAATTATGTGATTCTGTAACTCAAATGACTAATGACAGCATGAGAGAACTGTAATTTCCTATCTAACTAAGAGTCTGCTAGATAAATAGTACTGACAGGACTGTAGGAAGAAATGGACCGACCTTCCACCTCCAATAAGAAACAAACTGGTAAGGATAAACATGCAGAGGTTACTGTTATAACCTACTATAATACCCAAATTTGCACATATATAAAAAGAAATTCTAAGATTTTGTTTTTCTACTCCTCACTTTTCAAGATAATTAGAGGCTAACAAGCTGCATGTGAGACATGTTACACATCCAATCTCAATTTCTTAAAAATTATGTTCTCCAAGAAAACTATCTTTAACTTACTTCCCCACATTCTTACCAATAAAATGCCCCTCTTCTTTACTTACTTAAAACTTACTTATCACCCTGGCTGGCATAGCTCAGTGGATTTAGCATGGGCTGCGAACCAAAGCATCGCAGGTTCGATTCCCAGTCAGGGCACATGCCTGGGTTGCAGGCCACGGCCCCCAGCAACCGCACATTGATGTCTATCTGTATGTCTGTCTCTCTCTCTCTCTCTCGATGTCTCTCTCTCAATGTCTGTCTGTCTGTCTCTCTCTCTCCCCCTTCCCTCTCAATAAATAAATAAATAAATAAATAAATAAATCTTATCTTTCAATGCCCAATCCCATCATATTTCTTGTTTAAAACTCTCTCTTAACTGTCTAGCCTAGTTGTTCCCAACCTTTCTTTCATGGTTGCTACCTCCCCCTCCCCCCAGCATTTTTAGATTGCTTCCCCATGAAATTTTTTTTAAAGATTTTATTTATTTATTTTTAGAGAAGGGAAGGGAGGGAGAAAGAGAGGGAGAAACATCAGTGTGTGGTTGCCTCTTGCGTGCCTCCTACTGGGGACCTGGCCTGTAACCCAGACATATGCCCTGACTAGGAATCCAACCAGTGACCCGTTGGTTTGCAGGCCGGTGCTTCCCCATGAAATTTTAACAATGCAGATATACCATGTACCTGTTTATATGCTATGGCCCTTTGGAGGGCTATGAAGCACTGTATTACTTAAGGAGTTCTTCATTCCCAGCAAACAAGAAGCAATTTTCACCAGAGAATGTATGCCCTACCTAACCCACAGCAACTGCCTCCTCTTTTGAACTTTTTTGACACTTAAAATCTGTACCCCTCACTGGACAACTGATATAATCTCTAACTGCAGCTTATTTTATTGACTCATACTGTTTTATTTAGTGTTTAACAGAATTTTACATTTTTAGTATATCATTTCTTAAACTAGATTTTAAGTGTCTGTCTTCTTCCCCATGGCACTCAGAACAGCAATATTTTATATAGCTACACAGTGGCTAAATTGATTAATGCTTTAAAAGACTATGTCCAATTAAACAAAAAAGTAAAATTCCATTAAAATAGCAATTGTATGAAAACTGAAAAGTAGACAACAGCTTGAAATGATCAGCAGACTGATTTTACAATATAAAATATAAATTTATATATAAAACACAAAACAGCTCAAGTTCCACATGTACTTGATTCTTCACAAAGGAACAAAAAAAATTCAATCTTGATTCTCCAGCAAATAAATTATGTCAGTGGTTTTTCCACAAAACTACAAATAAGCACATAAAACAAAACCACAAGTAAATGTTTCCTGTACTATCATACGTAACACCTGGCTAAGTTGCACACAGTTTGAAATATCAATAGGGTTATTTACAATCAGTTAATTCTGAACACCAGGTTAAATGCATTTGGATCCATACAGGGCTGTTGATAAGAAAAGGTAAGCCAGCTTCACTAGCAAAAGAAAGGGCATTTCACACACTTAACCTTAAATTACAGACATAGATAAAGAAAAATGATAGGGCGCCTCACTCAGCAGGCACTCACCACTACACAAGTCTATAGGAAAGAGAAATGAATGGTTCAACTTCCCAATCACAGGGAGGAATAGGAACAATGACATTGCTATTGGCAACAAAAACAAAAAACAGCTTTGTGTTTTCAGCCATGCTAATATATGTTTGTTGAAAGAAACCAGAAGTACATTCAAAATGTAGGATAAATAGTCTGAGTCAAATACCAGCCAGGGGCCAAAACACTGTTTATCCATTTTTTAGGAAAAGGTAGCTTGCCATATAGAAATTAAGAGTGAGTCTGAAGCCAGATAAACTTTAACTACTGATAAATTCTGTAATCCTTGAAAGAGATTATATACAATCTCTCTTAGCACCGGTTTCCTTACCTGTAAAATGATTTTACAATACTGTCCCTACACTGCAGATCTGTTTTAAGAATCAAATATAATAATAAAAAGAAACTATCATAGGACCTAGGACGAAGAAAGCAACAAATGAATGATGGTTTTTATTATTCTAATGATAGACTCGGGACTGTGAACATTAAAGCAGATATCACAACCTAGTGGGTAGGACATGCATGTAAGTAAATAACAGCAGCAATGAACTTGTGAGCAGTATGAAAAAAGGTCTACTGCAAACAGAAGTGAGAAAACCAGTTAAGTCTGGCACTGTTGGGAAACTTTCTAGACAGGTTAATTTCTGAACCAAGCCCTAGAAAATCCATTCAAGAGTCAAACATGATAGAGAAAAGGAATGACAGGTAAAGGTAAATACCAAGAATCCAAAAGCACAGAGGAAAGAAGGCATGACACAAATAATACATAGTTTAGCATGGATGCAGCAAAAAATAAATGTAATGTGAAACTCGAATAGGTAAGGACAAAACAACCCAAATGTCCGTAAACAAACACCATGTGGCATAACCACACAATAGAACACAGCTCGCCATAAAAAGGAATAAAGTTCTAATATATGCTAATATATATGGATGACCTCTAGAACATGATGCTCAGTAAAATGTGCCACACACTCAAGGGCAAATATTGTATAATTCCACTAATATGAAATATCAAGAGGCAAATTCATAGAGACAGAAAGTATACTAGAAGTTACCAAGAGCTTGGAGGAGAGAAGGAAGGAGAGAGCTTGGAGGAAACGGAGAGTTATTTATTTCTTAATAAGGGGAGAATTTCTGTTTGGGTGATGAAAATTTTTGGAAATAGCAGTAATGGTTGCACAACATTGTGAATGTAATTAGTGCGACAGCACTGTACACTTAAAAAGAATCAGAATGGCAAATTTTCTTATATATTTTACTACAAGAAAATAATTCAAAAAAGGTAGAGGTTCATAGCAGCATTATTCATAATAGTCAAAACCAAAAATAACCCAATTGTCCATCAATAAGAAAACAGATAAACAAGTATGATGTGGTTATATAACAAAATACTACTCTATAATTTTTTAAACTACTGACATACAACCATATGGATAAGTAGGGAAAACATGTCGCGTGAAAGAAGACAATCATAAAGAGTATGTATTGTATGATCCCATACTAAATTCAGCAACAAGCAAAACAAATCCATACCGGCAGAAGTCAGAATAGTGGTAACCTCTAACAATGGGGATTGGGATGGACAGCGGTTATGTGCTCAAAAAGGACATGACAGAAGTTTCTGAAGTGATGGAAATAATCTGAATCTTGATTTTTTGATGGTCAATGTCATTTTGCTATATGTTTAAGATCTGGGCTTTTTAAATTATTCCAATGTTAAAAACAAAAAAACAGAAGGGTAGAGGAATAAAGATGTAGTTAGGTAGGGGGCCAGCTCCTTAAAGGCTTTTGATATTGATGTTAAGGTACTTTAGGCTTCATCCTATAGGCAAAGGTGAGCATTTAAATGATATGAGGTTGGGGCAAGTAGAATGTTATTAAATTTGCATTTAGAAACTACTACTGTGTTAGCCAAAAAGTT